ATTGGCGAGCTCAAATTACTCAAGTTAATCTGGAATGTCAAAGACACTAGAAACTAAAACTATGATAATTGATTACATTGATATATATTATTTCGAATTGAATACGAACTGGATTCTATTCTCATTCAACATCATTCTCAGTAGCTAAGCCGTCACAATTCTGAATCTTAGTTTCAGTCTTCGCAAGTATATTTCGGTTTTACCAACCCAAATAGTTTTAGTTGACGTAGACGGGTCACCTGATGGTAAGCGTAAGTGATTACTGCCATCCATTGTTACTCAAAAGACACAAATACGTTGCCGTCTTCTTGTGCCCCCTCCTCAAAAAGGTGCGTTGGGTCTCCGGTTGCCATACTGACTCCGTCATATGCTACAGAAGAATTACTAAACACCAGCTTCCTGTGAGGTCGTAGTATCGTTTCTATCTATGGTTGGTCTCAATCAGCACTGACTTCTATTCTTTCGTTTCTTAACTCTTCATCTTCACCTTCTTACTTGGCTCCCCTATAAGACCAATGTTGACTAGTAGTAGGGTATGCCTTTGGCATTAAGTCTGCCTTTGTACAAAATGTGCATACTATTTACAAATAAATATTTTACAAACAGAAAATACTGAATACAATTTTATAGGGTAATTATAAAATTTATTTTCCTAAATATTCCAATCTAGACCCCATAACAACTTTCTCCAAAACACACCTCGAAAAGTTCATTATAATCCGTTGTTGTTTCATTATTGTCCGAGTTTATAGAATCCCCGCTATCGCTGTCAGTAGTAGGAGCACTATCCGCAATCCCCATATTCGAGATCAAAAGACAGAGTATTAACACCAGCCGGATGCACATTCTTGGTCTTTTTGCTAAAATAAACAACCGAAAGCAACTATAGAATGGTTGTCTGGCATGCAAGTACCGAATTTATACACAGCAAGAACTAGAAAGACAGGTCCAATATAATAAATAAAGTGCATTGTCTTGACATTTATTTATCATTAAAGATACATACAAATTCGTTTCACCTCTTAAAAGGTAATTGGCAAAAAGTCTTAACTAGTAGTTTCTACGTTATTGGCTGCACTTGTCATCATCATCATCAACAGCCTTTAATAGTCCACTGCTGGGCATCTCCTTAGAAAGAAGGTTTTGCTCTACTATACCATGCTGACCAGTCGGGTTCTTACAATAATGTTTTGTATCAAGTTTTCCTTCTCTTTGCAGTGCTATTGTCCTGTGTAGTTTGCTCCCTTAGTCAGCTCTTCGACACCCATGGGAAGAACAGGGTTGGTGATACACTATATTCTTAAGCCTTCACCACATGGACTGGAGTGATAATACGGCCTTCCAGAAACAGGTGTTAAGCAGTTCTTTTGCTGCATTTCAATGGAAGGATGAGCTTACCGGTACTCTTAACTAAACGTCTGCTCCTAAATCCCCTATGCCGTAAAAAATAGTTGACTTCATTGTTAGTTTTGGTGCGTTATACTGTAAAAAATCATAAAATATACAGCAAACGGCATTAGATTTCGACAAGAAGTAAATAATAACAGTAGCATCAATAGAATGAAATGAACGAACTTAATTATGTTAGCAAATCTTAGAAGTACTTTTTAATTTCTTCATCGATCTTCTTGCAATCTTAGACTATATCTGATGATACAGCCAGGAGACGAATAGTAGAACTCTATTAGTTCAGTATTTCGTTAGAAGATGATCTTTCATGTTTGTGATTCCTTTTGACTAGTCCAAGATTGGGATTGGTGGAATTAGTATAATATAGCCAAGAGACTGATAGTGCAACATTTTTGTTTTTAAAGCGTATTTTTCTTTTGTGTTAGTAAATTATTAATACTAATCATATAGTTTTAGTTATCCAAGTGAGTACAATGATGTGGTCAGTATATACAATTTCATATAATCATCAATATAATTAGTTAATATTAACTATAGGATAAACATCACAGTGACTCTTATATTCTCTCATATTTTAAATTAAATATTTTCAGGTATAATCATTGCAAAACGAAGAATGTCTTTAGATTCACACCGAGAAATTATTCGCTGTGTTTTTTTTTTGGAAAAGAGAGTATTTGACCAGTAGAAACTTTTTATTATATAAAAACCATTGACAAGTAATGTTAAATTCAAAGAGGTATTTCATCTAACTAAGTACCTGTTTAATGATAAAGTTGACATGGGTTTTGAAACAATTAATTTTGTTAAATACCACTTCACTATCATTGTTCCGAAAGAAAAATTATTCAACTACGTATGTTTTGTTTTTTAAATTGTTTAGCTTGTATCACTGTAAGTAGAATTCTGTCTTATCAATTCACCCAGGAATGGGATCCCAAATCGATTGGCAAAGGCGTATTATTCAACCTAGCTCTTTTTTAATTAAAATAGGATTGGGAGTAAATTAGAAATGAAAGGCAGGTATGACAAAGATATCGCAAGAACATGATAAAGCAAATGGAGGGTATGCAAGCAATATATAGAGTAGATCAAGGTCGTTGATCTGTAATTTAAATTGGATGTTGCTGATTATGAGCCCTATAACAAACTACTCAACAATAGTTTCTTAACGTATCTAAACTATTTATCGATATTCATATTTAAATGTGAAAGTGAGTTTGTTTATTGCGCTTTCACGCCTTAAACACTGAACCGGTTTTAAAAATGTTTTCACCACAAGGAAGCTACGTTTTCAGCGAGTAACATAAGCTGCGTTTTACCGCAATGATCGACATACACGTGTGTCACGCACTCCTTTTCACATTATAAGACTAAGTATGGATGTATGAATAAGATAAATATAAACACATAAGGTACATCGCAAACAATAAGCCATGAACTAATATATTTTACTTCATAGCACATACACTAGTAGTAGTTTAAGGCAAATTAATGAAATTTGTATTTTTTTTAAATTTTAATTTAAAAAATATTTAGAGTATTATTTTGGTCGAATGGATTGGTCATAATAAGACGAATTTCTTCATTTCTTCGACGGGTATTTTAGTGTAGTCGTTAGTGATGGTGACTGTTGACTTCGAGGTCAAGGCTTTGATTCCCACCCAGGACCAATAATAGTATGATAAGAATTACTGTTTTGTTCTAGTGTTGTCTATATGTAATTTATATGTATTTAGTAACATATATATAAATTAGTCAGAATTTTTGTACTACAGTATATAATATAGTATGTATAGTAAGTATAGCTCTGTTTAGTTTGTGATTAGACGGCCGGTTGTGACATAGCAATATCTATAATTAATGACTTAGCATTGGTATATGTTTGATGTAATAAGTTCTATCAGGACAAGTTTCCGATTCATTCGCACCTAGAGTTAAAAATATTAAATTTATTAAGATAAATTAAGATTAAAACTTAAGTTAACTTTACATGAACAGTTTTTACTTACATTGCAACTGTTATGGCCAGTATAAAACTAACATTATCAAATCAAATTTTAATTAACTAGTAAAGATGTAGGTTCTCGGTTAAAGATGTAGTAAATTTAGAATAACGCCGATAAATTGCCGCCAAACTAATTTCCTTGAGTTTTGATGTTACAGGCCATAGAATTAGATGGTTAATATCATCGATCTCGATATAATAAAATATGTTTTGTGTGTGATATACCTATAATATACGGTTCAATCTCAGAAGATCTATTGGCCAGGACCATGATGGATCTAATTACATGTGTTTTTCATTAGGTATATTCATATAAAAAAATAAGTAAATAACAGGGCACTTCTAATCGCAAAAGATATGTAACGACTATTGATGATGAATCAGATATTTTCAAAGAATCTGTCTTTAGGAAAACACATACTGCATCCGAAGCATTCTAAATGCATTTATATTTTTAATAAACGTAACAAATACTCGGTTAAATTTTAGCAGATGCAAAATATAAAGTGTCAATTTTAATAAAAAGGATGTAAAGTATTAAATTGTAAGGCTAGGCGCTTACTTCGTACCCTAAATATGGATTCTATATAAGCACTTTCTTTTAATCATCTCTATTCCGGGGCAATGATTTTATCACGAGCGATTTATTTTCTTAAAGAGCTCTACTGTAAAAAATCTTCTTATTAACTAAAGTGACAAAAACGGCAATTCAAATGCATGTTAAATGTTGCTGTAGACGACCTACGTGTAGCATTTGAAATCAATGAGATAGATCGCTTCACTTCTATATACTAAGATGTTACTAAGAACGAAACTAGTGGTGGTAGTGAGTTCCGTACACTCAAGGATGTGGAAATATGGATATGGAATATAAATATACTTATTTATCGACTAAAATTTAAAGGTTCACATAGTGTGTTGTATTACTACAAATATATATTTATTGTTATGGCATCTCTTGTTTTGAAAACTTTCTTTTAGAAAAGTAATGTGCGTTAGAACTATACCTTCATTAACATTTGGTTTGCGTTTGTATTTAATAGCTCAATGCAAAGGCTAACATTAAGCTATGAAACTTACGACCAGAGCAGTGGCCATTAACTGCAGGGAGCCACTAGTTAGGGATAAAATATTGTCATACTCCTGTTTGGAAAATCCGAAATTATTTCGTCCCAATAGCGGTCATATATCAAGTAGTGAAGTGACCCGAAGCATCGGTGTCAGATGCAGAGTTGGGCAATTTTCCTCTGAAAATAGTTTTTATTAAATCCTTTTTTTCATTGGTTTCAGGTAATGGCTACATAGAAGGCACAGAGCTTGATGGGTTCCTCAAGGAGTTTGTATCCAGTGCCAACTTCACGGACGTCAGCCCCGATGTAAGTACTAGTTCAGTAAAGACGAATAATTATTATAGAAAAATTAACTTTAACAGATAACAGGAAATGTAAAAAAAACTATATTTTCTTTTAACTATTTACATTTTTAATCCTTATTCGGCGCTGATTTTATTGCAAATTGCTTAATATTTAACCAATTAAAAAATACCACTCTGAAGTTAGTTAAGTATGACTTCTATATCGGTTTAACGTCCCCATATGTCAAGAAGATAATAATAACCGTAGCCTCTTGCTGATGTCAACCTGACAGTTATGTTGCTCCAACCAATCGCTCCAGATACTATATAAGCGTTTGCATACTGCGTGTACCCAACTTCTGTGGCCTGGACTGCTGTAACCCTGGTCGTCCTATTTCCACGGTAAATGATGTCTTGGGATTGAACTGCGTTAGCATAAGGTGCCTTATAGAAGTAGTTCCTTAAAAAAAAATTGGAGTTAATACCTAAACTTATGTTTTATTTCTTTTAAAAGTCAAATCTCGAACTAGAAATATGTCCTGTGAGTTTACAAGCATACATGACACGGACACAAAGAACACCATGAATCGGAACAAAATTATATACATAATACAAATGTTTTCCCATGTGGGGGGAGGGAGAGGTTAGGAGGGGGAGGTTACCGCTTTAACCACTACGCCATCTGTGCAGTCAATTGAAATCCATACAGGGTTTCAAGAATTAACAAATGTTATTTGTAGCTTCTCTGCTCGTCAAGCTAGTTCTGTAGAAACTCGCTTAGGATAACAACTTGTGACGTCATACCTTGCTATCTATGTATCCAATTGTAATAAATGTCATGGGGACTGATGTATTATGCTTTGGCCGTGATATCCTCATACAATTTTCTTGTTTTTAGACATGACAAATGAACTATAAAGTTATAATTGACATATCATTGTCCATTTTTTCAAAAAAAAGATGATTACTTATAATTATGTGTTACATAATCTGTATTTATACCTAAAAGTTATACCTTTATTGTATACACATTGTCATCAAGTATGTAGACACATTTATGCACACAAAAATGACTCCTTATTCTTAAAGTAAAAGATAACATATTGTTCCTACATGTCACTTTAACCTTAATCATTTCTAGCTTAGTTATAAATTCTAACCTGATTTTGTTACAAGTAACTGCGTAAGTCTCTAATGGGTATACGCTAATCTGATTATGAGCGATAATATTTAACCACAAATTGGTACGAACAGCTGCAAAAGTACCCTTTTAATATTCTCCAAATCTCCATTGTTTATTTTTAAAGACACCTTCCGCATTAAGAATATTGCCTGTGTCGTGGGGGACTTTACACACGTACATTAAATGGACTAAACAAACACCATTACTCAGAACAACAATTTGTGGACCACACAGTATTGTTCCATGTGGGGATCGAACCCACAACACTCAATGCAGTAGAAATCGGCGTGGCGACCGCCTAAACCATTACGCTATACGTGCAGTTAAATTGCTAACTGGACAGTTAGCAACTAAACAATCTTTTTGTTCACAATCTTGTGGTGGTGGCAATCATCATCATCCTCAACAGCATTTGATAGTCCATTGCTGGACATAGGCTCCTCCTTAGATAGGTGATTTTGACCTACTACCTATTCCACGCTGGCCAGACGGGTGGTAGTGGCAATATGTATGCCAAATACCGAAATGAGAGTGTGTAATACGCCTCTGCCCAACCCTCTAAGAACACAGTCGTCAATATATGAACAAAACGATGGTTAAACTGCATAATCTGCTTTTTATCAGACAGACTTAATATTTAGTTAAATCCTTTAGAGATAATCAAACATATCAATAAAATTGCATGTTTGTTTGCCACTTCAGAGGTAATGCAATATACCATGACGTGAGAACTGTATATATTAATATTATTACAAATGAGGCAGTGAGTTGGTTCTTTTGGTTGTGTGATCTCCCTAACCCCTAACTAATTAATTAGCTCGAACTAATTAACAAATTATCATGAAATTTTACATGCACCTTGACATAGTTACAGAGTAGGGAATGGAGGACATTTCGTATAGAAAAAATAATGTCCTTAAAGACTATTAAAACTACTCATACATATGCTACTACTATTCATACTCATACATATACTCATATATATGCTCTGCCTAGTTTGGGACCAGTCGGCAGTGTGTGAGATGTGTTAGATATATTATTATTATTATAACCTTGTTTTTCTAAAATGAAAGCCTAAAAAGTTGTAAAAGAGTTTAATTTTATACCAGACCACGAATAGACCAATTTAATTTAAATTATTTCTTATGGTGTGTAAGGTTTACCGCTATTACCAGCATTATATTTATGCTTAAAAAATAATTTTACCTGTATAGAAGTCGATCTCCAGCAGCTATATAGCCAATATTCAGATTAGACCTGCTAGATACGGCTGGTTGCAATGCTGCTCCGCCTGCATACGCAGTTAGTACTGCTAACACCGCATATAATATTAAATGCTTCATCTGAAAAAGAAGACACAGTCATTTAAATAGACCTTGATTGTAACTATCTTACAATTAAAATTAATTTAACTATCTTAAAATTAAATTAACAGGATGAGGCGTGGCTTTGTTCGTGGACAATCTAGTCAGTCAATATAGCTCATCTCAGAGCATTAGGTCAAAAGGTTCTGTAAACTGGACATTAAAATGTGCGTATTTGACAATTTTAAAGTTGTACGAGTATGCTTCAGAAATTCTGCTCTTTTGACAATTTGCTTTTTCAACGGAGCATAAGGCTCCGAAGCTGCGTCAGAAATTGTAACATGAATTTCTTCATAAATATTAAAATGTTTGTCATTTCGAATTCGTGCCTCGTACGAGCGCAGTTTTCATATATAGGGGGTATTGAACAGACGGAGCTTCTTGCGCTTTCTAATGTGAATAATCGCTGGATAACCCACATACAACACCAGTTAGAAAGACTTGAATACAATTTTATTTTGAATAAAAACAGAAAAGAAAATATCAAAAAATAAAAATAAGTACGTAAGTTTTATTCGGGTTCTTAAAATTCAGTGTGAAGGTTAGGTGAGGTATTAGCTTTGAAAATAACTATATTTTCGGTTCATTTTTTTTTTTTTTTTTTAAAAAGACAACTCCCGCAGTAGGAATACATTCCTGTGTCACGGGGGACTTTATAAACATATATGAAACGGACACAAAGAACACCCAGACTCAGAACAACAATTTGTGGATCACACAAAGTGTCGTTCCATGTGGGGTTTGAACCCACAACACTCGGCGCAGTAGGAAGCGGCGTGGCGACCGCTTAAACCACTACGCCATCCGTGCAGTCAAATACATCTGTAATAATTGATGACATTCTAATACAATTTTACCTCTTTTAAGAGGGTAGGGTCTATAAGAATATGTGCAACTCCTTGTTTCGAATTAAAAGGAAAACAAAGCCGAAATCAATGTTATATTTTATAAATTAAATATTTTTTAAATTGATTGTAGTTTCATTAATTTAGAAATTCCCATCCGTTTCCATTATCGATGTTAAAAACTCGTTGGATAAACTTTTTAAACTGAAAATTTCAAAAACCGAAGAAACCTTAATAATAGCACAACTGTAAAAAAATATTATTTCCTACATAGTCCAGTCATTTAAGCTTAAATTAGGTAAGAATCTCGGAATTCGAGATACCCAGCTGTAAGTCTGTAAATACTTGTATATTGACACCCTAAAAATTGTCTCAAAACCTACATATGGTAGGGTGTAAGCAACTATTAAATTTCAAGGTCAAAAGTCACAAAAATCGGTTTATTGCGCTTTTTTTTGGAAATATCTCATTTCCTATGGGTTTCTGCTATTTGCATTCATTTTCAAAATTGTAGAATACAAAATTCTCTACAACTTTTGTTTAAAAATTTTTTTATACGGTGAACCGTTGTCGAGATAGAGGGCAGAGAGCGCGCGGTCACAGCATCACTTCAGGTCAACCGGTGCCTCCGGTCGAAAACACGCCATATATAGTTGATGAACTATCGATAAATCAATGATTATAAATATTTGTCAATTTTTATTAACTATTATATTATATTTTATCATTTTTTTCCTAACTTATCCACTTTTTATTCAGTATTAATTTATTTAACAACAATTTATTTAATTGCAGAATTGTTAATGAAAATATAGGAATTATATTTGAATTTTAACCTAATTAATATTAATAACTTCTTACATAATGAAAAAAAAAAAACAAATAAATTATGATTAATCTTTTTATTAAAAAATATCATTGAATACATTTATTTTTATTGAAAGTAAAAAAATGGAATAAAGGTTACAAAAACTACAATTTATAATTTTAATCATCTTCTTCCTCTTCATTGTCGTCTTCTGGCTGCTGGTAAATTTCAAACTGGTCTTCATTATCGTCTTCAACGACATTTGTCTCAAGTTCTTCTATGATTTCGGGGTCAAAGGTTCCATCTTCGTTAATGTCGCTCTGATATGGTAGAGCATTGAGACAAGCTTGCCCATTACATTGGCCACAAGCTAAAGAGCATTGCAAGCCCGCTTTCCTGCATCCGCATCGCGAACCACAACCACTCTTGCAGTTGCAGAAAATTGTATTTAGCAAATCTTCTGGAGCAGGTGGTAAAATTGTCATGATAGGGTCCAGAAAATCATTTCGCATTGTCCAACCCCATACCTGGGGTTCCAAATCATGTCCTAACCAAGTTTGAACTTGATAATATACACGGTTGAAATGTTGATGAGCAGCTGCACTTGTTGGTGGAATATTTGAAAGCTGCACAGGTTTATTAAGTTTTGTAGACTTGACGTGATGCATATAACGAAGATGGTCGAGACTTTTCACAGATTTCGGAGCATTATAGACTGCCAATAAGGTATGAGTTCCACTCTCTAATAATCTCTGGGCCGAACTTAAAATTATAAATTGTAGTTTTTGTAACCTTTATTTAATTTTTTTACTTCCAATAAAAATAAATGTATTCAATGATATTTTTTAATAAAAAGATTAATCATAATTTATTTGTTTTTTTTTTCATCATGTAAGAAGTTATTAATATTAATTAGGTTAAAATTCAAATATAATTCCTATATTTTCATTAACAATTCTGCAATTACATCGGCAGGTAAGTGTTGTTAAATAAATTAATACTGAATAAAAAGTGGATAAGTTAGGAAAAAAATGATAAAATATAATATAATAGTTAATAAAAATTGACAAATATTTATAATCATTGATTTATCGATAGTTCATCAACTATATATGGCGTGTTTTCGACCGGAGGCACCGGTTGACCTGAAGTGATGCTGTGACCGCGCGCTCTCCGCCCTCTATCTCGACAACGGTTCACCGTATAAAAAAAATTTTTAAACAAAAGTTGTAGAGAATTTTGTATTCTACAATTTTGAAAATGAATGCAAATAGCAGAAACCCATAGGAAATGAGATATTTCCAAAAAAAGCGCAATAAACCGATTTTTGTGACTTTTGACCTTGAAATTTAATAGTTGCTTACACCCTACCATATGTAGGTTTTGAGACAATTTTTAGGGGGTCAATATACAAGTATTTACAGACTTACAGCTGGGTATCTCGAATTCCGAGGTGAACTTACTATAATGACTGGACTAACACAATAATAAAAACAAAAACATCTAATCTTACCTTAAGAATGTGTTTTTCTGTAAGTTTTTTCAATTACTAACACCTCAGCTGAAGATCTTAGAACACTGAAGACAAACATCTCAACTATGTTTATAACTGAAAACACAACAGATACGCGAGGTGTTATCAGTGAGTCACTGATAGTGGAACAATTCATGTCGTGCTAACAGATGACACTCGTGGAATCCTCATATAGAGCTGTTGTCTTAGTAAGCCTTTCATATGATAATATATTGATAATACTAAGTTCTTCATGGAAGCATAACAGGAAAATATGTACACAAACATGTTGTAATTAAACAATTTCACCTGCGGTTGTGGAAAGTACTCCGATGTTTATTAGGTTATACTAACTTTTATGAAATTTCTTATCAACAAACGCAACCCTAAAAACAAATGAACTCTTCAGCTCTAATAGTAGTCCTTTCTTTTTAAAAGACAATGCCCGCATTAGGAATCCTGCATAATATATCCTGCATTTCGTGGGGGACTTTGCAAACATACATGAAACGATTTATTATTATTGTATTATATTTTGTCCTGGGTGATAATCGAACCCACGACTCCGGCTCAGAAGTCAAGGTTACTAACCACCAAATGAACATGCTAGTTAAATTAGTCTGATATGCAACATTAGTAAGGATTTAAGACTGGTGACCCAGCAAACTGTTTTTAAAAAAAAATAACATTTCATTTTCTTAGAAAATTCGATGACAGTATAACAATTGTATTTGTCTGCCTAACATCTGGCGACAGACGGAGGTGTGCGATTTGTCAGGCTAGCGTGCTGGCAGTTCGCCAAAATATACCACCGCAATTTAAGTTATTGTAGTACACTGTCGGATGTTGCCGCTTTTACGTAACACTTTGTAGTTTCTGTAAAAATATTTAATAAAATATATATTTGACTCACTTTCACATTGTCAAATGAATTAGTTATTTTATTAATGCAGGTCTGGACCTCTATATTACGACTTCACGCCTTAACTGCTTAAACCATTACTAGGAAATGAAAAATTGTACAATAAGATTATTTTTGTTGTCCTGAAAAAAGAGTCTTGTTCTGAATAGTTTGCTCCCTCAGTCGGCTCTTACGACACCCTTGTGGTGAATGGGGGTGGTGGTGGCTGTATTCTTAAACTGTCACACCACACGAATTTATGTAACTATAGATAAACATAATTTAAGAACATAGATGAGAGTGACAAAACAGTCAGTTGTGCAAGCACTCTATAACAAGGAGGGTAGAGGCAAGGAGAACCATCTCTGTGTATGAATGTGTTCGTAAAAAGGCGTCCTATAAGGGTGGCGCTGCGGTAGCTTAGGATAAATTTATATTGGCTTAAATAATAATTAGGCACTGTGTACTAGACTGCGAAAAATAGTCGATAAGTTTTACAGATAATAAATAAACGTGTAATAACTTTCAGACAATAAAGTATTACGAGTATAATGTTTTAACTCAGGACACTTCCCTCCGTCTACAACAGCTATGTTCATATCGTTGTTTTTCGTACGTTAGCGACCTCTATTTTAGGATACTTCAGGATACTTACAGGTGGACATCTTTTCAACTTTCCTCCATAAAAGATGGTTCTCCTTGCCTCTATACTCTATAAGCATTCCAAGACGCCAAACTGTCTTCGAGAACCTAGTGGGTAGTGATCCTCACTGCTGAGTCAATGGTTATGGGTTCAATACCCACCCAGGACAAATACATCTGGGTGTAATTTATCTATTAATTGTATGTATTTAGAAATATACATTGTACATAAATCTTTTTATCAGCAGTCTGGTTACCATTTTTACCATAATAAATAACCGTGCATTCAAAATGTGATTTCATGTCTACTGCTAAGCCAGAGGTGGTGGGTTCAATTTCCACCCAGGACAAGTAATTGTGTGATGAGCACGAATATTTGTTCTGTGTCTGGGTTTAATTTATCTGTCATATTTGTGCATTTAGAAATATTTAAGCATGTTTATCAGCAGTCTACCACACTACAAGCTCTACCTAGTTTGGGAACAGACTGCCGTGTGTGATATGTGTGAAGTTATTATTATCATAAATACAGTTATAAACACAGTTATGGTCTCCAACGTTACGTGCTCGTCCTAGTGCTGTTCTTCTAGTTGCAAAAAATGCTAAACTATGCTTTAAAAAAAAAGATATGAAGTAATACGAGTAAACTACTGTCGCTTTAAGTTTTTGTATGATACGATTAGAACGCATATAAAGGCTGTATGCATGTAGAGTATTTGTTGGGAAGCTATTTTCTTTTTATGAAAGAGGAGGCAAACGAGCAGACGGGTCACCTGATGGAAAGTGTGTGTGCAACTCAGGAGTCACAAATGCGTTGCCGGCCTTTGATTACGCTCTTTTCTTGAACGTTTAAAGGTCATGGAAGGAATTTCTTCGAAACAAAATACTTTGATAAAATTTATTTAAATTTTAAGCTTACACGATTTATTTATATAAACAACTAACGCATTATAATTATCTTTATAGGGAAATCAAAAATATACACATAGATTTCAAAAAAAAACATTTCTTTTTCTGTACTATTTACTATTACTACATTATACTTGCTAATAAATAAATCTTTGTCAAAACTAGTTTTAAATTATCGGCCCCAAATCTCAACCATGAAGTAGTAACCGTAGCCCCTGGCGGTGGAGAGCCGTATATTGACCATGCTCCATCCTGGGCCACCAGCTGTGATGTAAGCGCTTGCATACTGTGTGTATCCGACCTCCATAGCCGAAACGTAAGAAATCCTGGTGTATGCACTTCCTCGATATGTGATATCTTGCGATTGTACAGCGTTTGCGATTGCTGATTTCGTGAAGTAGTTTCTGTTAGAAATCATTTTATTAGAAGATAAAAGACTTGTTTCACAATCTTCAGATAAAGGTACTATTAAGGATTATTAATGTCTAAATTAAATAAGTCTTTAATACATAAGTGTTTTTGATCAAAGTTTTGTAAAATTATCAATTTATCAAACTTATTAAATAGTTAGGGAGGTTTTTCACGGGCTTCAAGAAGCATTTATATTTGTACTACATTATAATAATAAAAATCACAAAATGTGTATTTCAGCATCATGTTATCATCATATTTTCGTAATAATTTCCAAAATTTATTTTGCTGAAATTTATTTGACCAATCTTGAGTAATTTTAATGAGACCATCGATACGATGAGATTTTCTTCCACCAGATTAATTCTACAATTAATCTCATAAATTGTACAATTAATCTGGAGGAATAAAATCTCATCGTATCGATGGTCTCATAAAAATTACTCAAGATTGGTCTCATTATATCTCATTTCATTTTCAAAAGTGGTTTATAATGGCTTTTAGATTAAAACTTTTATTGAAATATAATTCTGTACAAAGGGTCTAATAATGTTAGTTACCTAATAGCTTTGACTATAAAAGTTAAATTGTACCTACATACAAAGAGACTATTATTAGACTTTATCCAAATAAACCATTAAGCATAGAACATGCGTACAATGCTCAATGTTTTATTTGGATCATCACAATTTTAGTGTGGATCTAGCCCTGGATTAAAAAGGACTTTACAGACTAAATGTTTCATTATGAATATGTAAATTAGTCTGTATTACGTCAAAAAAACCGCTAAAAATATCTTGTTTCATTACCTATATAACAATCTGTCTCCAGGATTGATTATTCCGGAGTACACGCCGCGGCTTACGGCAGATGCAGACAGTTCTTTGGGTGATTCAATTGCCTCGGCTTCTTCTACTGCTTCAGACTTAACGCCTTGGCTGACTTGAGATACAGTCAGTTCTTGTGGTGATTCAATTGCCCCAGATTCATCTACTGCTTCAGCCTTAACGACAGCTCCATTGATGCTGTCACTGATGGCCAGAATCGCCACGATCCCAAATAACAACTGCGTTTTCATCTATAATAAATGACCATGTATATAAAACCTTATGTGTAAAATTTAACGACAATTTAAGATTTAGACATTTATGTTAGTGACGCGGCGAAGACACAAAATTGCTCAAATTTGAGTTGGCAAACATACTACAAGTTCGATTGACAATAGACTTATTTCTTTTTTATTAAAAAGTTATGGTTATAAAATTATAGAGTAGGATATTTAAAAGTTAGCAATTTTAAAACTAATATTTTACAACAAAGAACACTTACCTTTGTAATAATCAGATATAATTCTTTAAATCTCCTGTAGTTTTACTGAATATTATCGGTTTAGCTACAAATATATATTGCGGAGAATAAAGATTACAGACATTGTTATCTCAAAGATAAAGAAGATACGAAGAATCTATCATCTGTAAGGAATACGCATCTTAAAGATAGATCTTGAACCCAAAATAGATTTTTTCGGCCCTAAATTTCATCTACCTGTTTCGAATTTTAATATTACAGGCTAACTTGAATTGCCGGAGTTCTTAATAAAAGCTGCTCCCGAATTTCTCCTATTTCAAGGGCAGAGTGAGAAATCGTGTAGTTTTAGTCGGTTCAATTCCGTCAAACCCCAGTGGGTGACGGCCCGAGGGGTTTCCCCACATGAAAAATAAAGAAAAAAATAATGGAAAAAAATATTACTTCCATTATTTCTAATTTTTCACGAATAGAAAACAATCCAATAGAATTAAATTTATAGAACACTAGCTGACCCGCACAATTTGTCTGCGTCTCTCAAAAGGAATTTACCCGTTTTTCCAAGATTTTTCATTGATGCTCGGCTCCCATTGGCCGTAGCGTAATGTCATAAAGCCTATACTCGTAGCTTCCCTCGATAAATAAACTATCCAACATTAAAAGATGCTGTTAATTGTTGGTTTTACAAAAGTTCAATTTTGTCTTAAATTTTGAAGTTTATGATGTTATGATGGGCCTATCATTTTTGGGACATGCGAAATCTTTAGTGTTGAAACTATTATACGAGTAAACACATGTAAAATATTTTTTTGAAATGGTATATAATTGGCAATTTAATAAAGAATTCAATTTTAGTTAAAAAAATAACATTTATTAACTTTTAATCATATAAATTATTATTTGAAAATCTTAAATTGTTATAACTTTTGTTTACAAAAAGAAAATCTGTCTGAAATTAGTTTGAACTTTTAATAGAAAATAATAATTGAATCCATTTTTTTTTTTTTTTTTTTTTTCACATATCTCACACACGGCCGTCTGATCCCAAACTAGGCAGAGCCTGTACTATGGTAACCAGACCGCTGATAAACATACTTATAAATTTTTAAATACATACATATTATAGATAAATTACACCCAGACACAGAACAAATGACCGTGCTCATCACACAATATTTGTCCTGGGTGGGAATCGAACCCACGACCTCCGGCTTAGCAGTCAGGGTCACTAACCACTAGACCAACAGGCCCTTCAATTATTATTCTACAGGCTCGTCATTTATTATTCTACTACATACGATTTTTTGAAATGAACGTTCATCCCTTTAACATAAAACCTCTCCCTAACTCCGTTAATTCTAAAGGGCGAAAAAAATGGTAAGAGACCATTATTCTCTAAAATTTCAAGTTTTTAAATTTTCAGTCAGAACTTCAGTCAGATCTAAATTTTCAGTCAGTCTTAAATTTTTAATCTTTCTTCATAATATTGTGTCCACAATATTTTAACCACATGATGTTGATGATTTACGCAAATTGTTAGAACTTCCCTGACGCTATGTTAAATGAAATGAATATCACATCACATCAACAGCCTTTAATAGTCCACTACTGGACACAGGCCCCTCCTTAGAAACGAGGTTTTGGCCTACTATACCACGCTGACCAGACGGGTTGGTAAACCCGAAACTCCCCCGTTTGATTTGGAGGCGTAAGCGCTGTTTGTGTCAAGTTTTCCTTCTTTTTGCAGTGCTGGTGTCCTACGTTGTTTTGCACCCTTAGTCGGCTCTTACGACACCCACGGGATGAATTGGGATTATAGTAACATGTAGGCCAAAAGGAGCGTTAAAAGTGATATATAAGCAACAAAGATTTTGATGTGAGAATATTCGTCTTGCTATTGATATTGAGAAAATATTAACGTTATCAGCAAGTAGGTAACTACATTAATATAGTTCTTCATACAAGTACTCGAAAACATAAAAGGTATATTCTCCATCGTATAAAAATGTTTTACCTAGTTGTCATTAATAAGTTATTACATTCCCATTAAATTCCTCATATTTCGAGAACTGTAATAATAATTTTACACATGTCACACAAGGCCCTCTGATCCCAAACTAGACAGAGCCTGTACTATGGTAAATAATCAGAATGCTGATAAACATACTGATATATTTCTAAATATATATAGAAAACTTTCACGCAGAAGAAATGATCGTGCTCTCGATCGTTGTCCTGGGTGAGAATCGAATCTACTACCTCCGGTTTAGCAGTCTGGGTCATTAACTACTGGCTAACAACAACAAGCCACTCCAGTAGTCTGATGTATCCGGTGTCGAAAAGTCGATCTTTTGTTAAAGCTCTCTTTGATCTTTGCTGGTTTAGAACCGTGTCAATCATCTAGCAAAGGACTAAGGCATAGAACTCCTTCCCTCTTTGCCTTATTAAATAAAAATCTAATTTATTTTCGATTTATATATATTCATTTATATAAATATATAATGTTATTAATGTTTTGTAAGTAGTTTGATTAATGCACATTGAGATAATATTTTCGCCACATTCTCTTCTTGAAGTTCTTCAGACTAATGAACCTTATATATTTTTCTCTATTCTTATAATACTTGTACACCATACTATACATCAATAAACTTGTTTTTACATCAAAACAAAAGAGATTAATCGGAAGATTAATTCACTTATGATAAATGTTGCGTTTTGTTACAAAATTAGATGCCACGAATTTCAAGTCGGATGTGATAACCACAGCCTCTAGATGTCGAGAATTGGATAGCGACTGAGTTCTGGTCAATACCCCCAGATAAAATTCCTGCAGATGCGTACTGAGTTTTGCCAAGCTCCCAAGCCTGAATGGAGGTGATCTTGTTTGCGCCTCGGAAAACAAAATTTTGTGATTGTATCATGTTAGTTATTGGCGCTTTCGTAAACTCCTTTCTGGAATAAATATAGGTGTCGATGAAACGATGTAGGTAAAAGTTTTCTTACCATAAAAGCGTAAGTGTTAGTTATTTTTTGTTTAAATGCGCTAATCTCTGGCATAACCTTAAATAGTGGCTGTAACGTCAGCAGCTCAATTTTTGACGAAGGTTACACTTTGATTAACTAAGCTAAGCGAAAGCTATGGGTCGCAGAAACAGAATCGTCATGTTTATAGATTAAACACATAGCTCTCGCACTGGATAAAAGATATCTGGGCATTCTTAAAGCTATATAGCTAGATATGTAGTCAATGACTAGTTTATACTTGTCCAGCAGTGGATTAGTAAAGGCTGTTGATGATGATGATACTTATTATGGTAAGCAGGAAATAGATGTCAAACTAGATGTAGTTTGTTGCTTTAAACACTATTATCTGTCAGGCATAATTCAAACAATAAACATTATTATATAGTTTAAATATTTATATTGGATCGTTTATATTGGTACTGGATCCACCAATCAAGTATATACCTTTCTAATACAGATGCAATTTTACCTGAAAATTAGTTTATCTTTAGTTTTAGGTAATTCTGGTAAAACTGTTGGTCTGCTAAAATATTCGGTCTCATCGTCTGTTGGAGTTTCGACTATATCTTTATGCTTAGATTCTGCTATAGTTGCTGCTTTACTAGTGTAGACTATAAAAATTGATACCACCACAAACAAAACTTGAATCTTCATTTAAACTAGACGAATGTTTTACGTTAAAGAGGGGCTCAGAAGAGAATTCAGTTTTTTTTCTGTCCAAGTCCATTAGCTGAAAGTAAATAAATTAGACATTCCTGTCATCGCTGTCATAAACTTCAAATTACTTTTTTAACGTAATCCCTCTATAATTCGAGTCACTGCGATTCCGCATCAATAAATTTGAGAGGAAGAATTAAAAAAAAATGGCAGATAGTGGATGAGTGTTATGGCTCCCAACAAATAAAAAAAGTATCCTCCGATAAGGCGAGGTGATAATTAGCTCAAAGGTTGATGTTGAAAAGTTACACATATACTTAACTATATACATATAATCTATAGGTGCGAGAACTTTTATTTGCTCTGTACTTTTTTCCTTAGTTGATATTGAAGTATGTATATACTTATTAACTATGTATTTATATCTTTATACCTGTTCTATACCAGAAGTTAACTGCTTCTGGCGGCAATTAAATTTGACAAATCGTGTGAAGATGTAGCTAAGTATCAGTTACTTCAAATGTTTAATAAAATCTAAGGGGATCAGCCTCGTCCTCACGCTTAAGCACCATACGGCCAACATAAGCTTCCAGTACTGGTGTACTATAGCAAACACCACTACCATCAACTAATATTTGAAACATTTAATTTAATTAATACCGACGACCAACCGACTAGAACCGACAAAAACTGACAGTAGTGGAACTAATGGCCAATGAAGTCGAATTGGACCGGAGTGAAGACCATGGATCGGAAAGTCCAGGGTAGGACGTACATCAACAAAGTGGATAGTTATTGTTATACAGTAGATGCAAGTTACTTCCAACTGGTCTATTGGTGAATTAATGACGATAAAGAAATAAAAAAAATTGACCATGTTGTAAAAGCAAGTAGACGATATCCTTTTTAATTTCGTTAGACGTTTCGGAAATTCATGATAAAATTAAATAGTCTTGATTCCTCTTTTTCATCATCTTTATACAGTCCTCCTTCAGTCTTTTTTTTTGTTAACTGGCGGAAGATCCTCAAGGATGTGCTACGAGTGCGGGATGGCGAAGGGGTCTGTTAGACTCTAACCGACTAACCTCGGTGCTCCTCTCCTTGCCAATAGCCGGGGGAGCGAGAATCGCAATTGCAGTCTTCCGCCATCCCTGACAGGCATTGGCGACGGGTGACGAGACCCGTCTCACCCAAGACGGGTCTCGTCACCCGTTGCGACCGTCACCCTTATGTCGCAGTCCTCTAGAAGCACATACGGAACACGCGGGCCTATCGCGCCTGTATCTTCTCGGACGACGAATTCCCCAAAATCGTCGCCCGCAGGCCTCTTCCTAAAGTGGCCGGAGATCGACGTATGCCCTCCGGCGCTCCTTCAAAGTCTATCTCTATTTGCCACAACTATTTATTGATGAATATCTACAGTAGTTGCAAAAACCAACTCCAATTCATATTACTTAAAATTATCTATTCTATATAATATGACATATTGGTTAATTAATTTTATACAGAACTAGCTGACCCGCGCAACTTCGTCTGCGTCTCTCAATAGTAATAACTTTCCTCCGTTTTTGAAACATTCTTCATTGGTGCTCCGCTCCTATTGGTCTCAGCGTGATGATATATATATATATATATATATCTATGATATATATATAAAATGCACTTTAAAATCCTATGAACATATTAAAAAGGCGTTCATTAGTCTATAGGTACCTAGATGGTATGGTAAGGTAACCAAACCATCTAGGTACCTATATACTTCGACGGCTAAGTTAAGAAAAAAACAAAACGAGAAGACCACAAACAATATACCTTTCTATGCTTATTTTTAAATGCGTGATTCCATGTTTATTTAAATCTTTTGAAACAACCTTTCATGTTAGGACAAAAGAAGGTGGAATATTTATTTAAATATTGCAATGGCTTTTTGACTGGTTTCTTTGACGCCAACCCTCCTTGGGAATGTAACTAATTTCAGACGGACAAAGGAAAAAACTAAATGTGGATAAGAAAAAGGCATAGGGCCATATAACTAAATTGAAGGATATCTTAGTCTTGAACTGCCTGTCTCTGAAAATGCAGTAGTTCGAAGAGACCGAGTTAGACAGGACAATCATTGGAAGCCTGGTTTTGAAGACGGAGGACACTGATACAAGCCATGATAAATATAGTATCAGTTTATTTCAGTCAAGCATTTGATTCTTATTTGTTATTTGGTTCATGTAAAGGTTCTCGTTGGAAAGGAGGTTTGGCCTGACGGTTGGGTTGGGTGACGCTGGCCTGACGGGTTGGTATAGTTTGTTTCAAGTTTTTCTTCTTTTTGCAGTGCTATTTTTATGGGTAGTTTGCTCCCTAAGTCGGTTGTTACGACCCCACGGCATAAATAAGGGTGGTGACCGTCCGTATTCTTAATCCATCACTACACGGATATTTATTTGTAACTAGCTGACCCGCGCAACTTCGTCTGCGTCTCTCAATAGTGATAAATTTTCTCCGTTTTTGAATGGGCTATCTAACACTGAAAGAACTTTTCAAATCGGACCAGTAGTTCCTGAGATTAGTTCAAACAAACAAACAAACTCTTCAGCTTTATAATATTAGTATAGATTTATAGTCTATATTTAATTTATTCAATAAATTAAAAGATAATAATAATATCCGGTATACAATTATTTGTACACCAAATATCATAATAATCTTTTAATTTATTAAATAATAACTGCGATCAAATATTAAGTATATCTTACGATTCCGATTAAAACTATCTATATTTCATAAATCACTGATAACATTGATATCACACTTATATTTATAAACATGTGAAATCGTTTGCAAAAATAAAAAGGAGCAGTCTTTATATGTTTAATATAGCACCATTTTCTAATAGTAATATGTCCGTGTGGTGACGGATTAAGAATACGAACTGTCACCACTCCTATTTATCCCCTGTGCGTGTCGTAAGACGACCGACTAAGGGAGCAAACTTCAAACAACAGCACTGAAAAGCGATGGAAAACTTGACGTAAACCCTATACCCACCCGTCTGGCCAGCGTGGTAAAGTAGGTCTTTTTTCTAAGGAGAGGCCTATGTCCAGCAGTAGAGTGCTAGCGGCTGTTGTTGGTGATGATGCTTATGTAATATCCTGACTAATAAAATTTCATTTGTTATTCTAATTGTATTTACGTCTTATCTAATCAACCAATATATACATAATGTACAACATATACATAAATATATTGTACATTGCATAAAAGAAGGTAGATTACACATCTTTCATCCACAAAACAGGCTTTCTAGTCATAGGCATAAACTAGTAAAATAATAAAACAGAAAGCGTATATCATGTATTTTATAGCACTACGGTAGGCTTAGGACACTTGCACATGTCGAGGAGAATGAATATGAAATATGAAGATACAAGAATTGCCGAAATGGTTCTTTCTCATACATCCCTGATAAATGGTCACAAAATTAGTAATAAGGCTTTTTTTAAGGACTCAAAAGAAGTTTTAAAGAGGTTACAATTCAGCAGTTTACTTCTAAACTAATCGCTCCTCGAAGGTTAAAATTCCTAATCCTTTGTTTATAAAATACTATGCTGTAATCATTTTATAAAAATATAATTTATCGGCCCTGGATGTTAACAGAGATGTTAAAGCCGCGACCCCTCTGCGACTGCATTCTGATAGTAACATAGTTACTGCCGACGCCCCCAGCTGTAATGCGCGCAGTTGCGGACTGGTCCACGGTGGTCTGAATAGAGGAGATACGACCTCGTGCACCGAAGCTTACAGTAAGAACGTGAGATTGAACTACGTTGGCTACTGCCGATCTCCTGAATGAGCCACTGTAAAAGAGAAAATCAAATATTTCATCAGATTTTCTTACAAATAGAAGAAAGCATGCCTAGTGAGGAAAGGTTGTTTTGGCTATTTAATCTAAATAGGCAGGCAAATAAGTTTTGCATAAACTTTCAGGACTATAGTTTTTACTTAATAACGGGTAAGCTTCTCCATTCTTCTACTGACTATATCTGGAGAGATGCTAAATAGAAGCAATTTCAGTAACTAGTAATGGTGTCTACAACTTTACACATCCATATAAAAAAGCGAAAACACTAGTGATTCAAATTTTCAGGTGATATTTTATAGCCCGTAATCTTTTTAATAAACTCATTGTTAAGATAGGATATGCTACCATTATATAATATCGAATACGAATATGATTAATAATTAAGAAAAACGTTGTATAGCGTTTTGTGCATTAAAAAAGAAATTGTATATTGCTTTTATTGAATGAAAAGTTTCGTATATGGTGTTGTGAATATCAGATTGGTTTTGAATCTAACCCCATCACGTAAAATTCATCGTGCCCAGCCCCCTGACCAATCAGGTTCTAAGAAATTCTGGTTCCGTACGAAAGCTTGGAAGCTGGTTAGGCAGTGTGAGGGATTTGATTGATGCTTCGCTATTTTTTTAACGCGAATTGACTATAATTCATATCAACTAGCCCTCGACGGCGACCGCGTTCAGCGCAAAATCACACTAGTCCCCCTGGTATTCTAAAAATACACACTTGAGTGAAGTCGTATGTTTAATAAATCTATTTATTGTGTTATATGATATATTAGTCGTCACTGATTACAATGACAATACAATACATGTTTATATGCGGTATAAACGAAACGGTACATAATACAATAAAGATTTACGTTGAACATTTGTGTAAAATTATTGATGTTAATATTATGAGAGTTAAAAAAGTTATGTTGTATTTCGCTTGCAAATAAGTAATTTTGCCCAATAAATACCTGAAAAGTATTCTGTTAGTTCTTGTGTCGATTCTGCTTAAGAAATCGTATGGAGTTACAGCTAAGCTCCCATCAATTTCTTCAAAGCTTTCAATGAATCCCAGAGGTTCCGTCTCTTTCTCAATCTCAAGTGCTGCGCCACTGACATAAGCTGCCAGAATTGCCAAAGTCGCAAACAGCATTAGTTTCTTCATCTGGAAAAAAATAGCGACATAATAAATCCATGGGTCTGTTGGTAGTGGTTAGTGAGCCTGACTAGTAAAACAGAGTTCGTGGGCGCGATAAAATTAAATGAAATCGTTTATTCTGCAAAAAGGCTACAAGAAAACTTTAACGTGTCAAACTTTTTAGAGCAGATGAGTTCGGTTTTTCCTAACTGAACCAACCAAGAGAAGAAAGGAGGAAACTAACTCAGGGATTTTCGTCTTTTTTAAATCCCCTATCCCCATCCATATCAGATAATTGTATGTGCACGTTTCCTATGTCTAAGTATAATTAATCTATTATTTATGTACTTATTAATATATAAGTACACACTTACGTGCACTGTAGTCTGTAACCAGATTGCTGATAAACACTTATCAGCAATCTGGTTACTATAGTACAGACTATGTCTAATTTGGGATCAGACGACCGATCAGATGGTATGTTTCACATGCGAGTACTCGTGCTGTTATATAAACAACTAACTTAGCAACTGAAAGACACTTCTAGTGACTATTCATTAGTTTTCTATTAGAAGACTGGCAGCATTGGTACGTTGAATAGCAGTCTATTCAACGTGGCAATGCAGCCAGTCTTCTGGAACTACCAGTAGGCGGTAACCTGTAATAAAAATGTAAAAATATAAAAGCCTGTTAATAATTATGTAACATTATAAATAAAAAATAATATTGTACACGTGTACATATTTATGAACCTTGAAAACTTTTGATTATTTTTTTTTGCAGTCGTGTAATAAGATCAATATATACATATAATGTGTTAGTTACATATATTTAGAATAATTCCACTGACCTTATCGTAAATGTTTTATGTTGTCTTGAACTCGTAAACTCAAACTTGTGTAATGAAAATTAATTATTCAACAAACTTTAAATACCTAATAGCTGTGATTTAGATTATAGCAATATGTTATCTTTAGAGATAATTGTGACAACATTTTAATTTCAATTATCCTTTAATGTTTATGTGAGGAACCGGTCCCATTGAGCTGATAAATCGTTGTACGCACGTATCTTATCAATATTATAGGTAATGCATATGCGTTTTTTTGGCATTTTTATTTGAAAGTCGACTGACATATTATTATTTATTCCAATCTGTAAAAATCTTTCATTTTCATATCGTTTTTGACATACAGTTTGTACAAAGTGCCTCCGCAATTGGATGCATAATATCCTCAACTATTTGACAACAAATATTTAGTCTATTTAAGTCATATTGAGAATTAATCGACACCATTTATAAATTAATTGAATCGGTGTTTGCTACATTTTAAACACACTTTTATTGTATCTTCTTATGCCTGCACCGATGGAGTAGTGGTTTAGTGGTGTTGTTAGTTCGATCCTCACATGACAACACTTTGTGTTCTGAGTCTGGGTGTTCTTTATGTCAGTTTCATGTATGTTTGTAAAGTACTCCGCGACACAGGATATTCCAAAAGTTATCTTAAAAAGAAAAAACAAAAAAATAACCTAATAAATAACTAAATACCTATGTAAACATATCTGGTAAAGCAATTTCTGTAAAACGCTACTCGCTCACAGTGCTGCTCGCCCTTTATCAAATAAAATATTGATTTGAACATCAAACAGGTATCGTAAACGTCGGAAATCTCCGATAGCATTGATTTTATACCTACTTAAAAGGTAATATTATTTTAGGAGCCTTTTGTTTTAAATATTGCTGACAAACATAAAGATGAATTCGTCTTCATAAACACTTTTGTTAACATATTTGTCAAATATTTTCTATTCATTTACTGCTTCTCGCGTTAAGAAGGAATATGGGTTTTTTATTTTTTATGTATATGTAAACTACATAAATAAAAGTTGTTTGTTAGTGATCGCACTTTAGAACGACCGGTTCTATCTGACTAATTCCTTCTTTAAACTGTTAATAATAGTCCCGGTAAGGTTCTCGCAGAAAGAAACATTCAGGGAAATTTAAAAATATTTTTTCAAGAAATTTCGAACACAATTTTAATATGTTTTGACACGAGTCGCGTCAAAACGTCGACGACGGGCAGGCCCCTGTCGGGTCAGTCAGTAGATAATAAAGAAAATAAATTTACAGCGATTCTATACATATAAAAATTGTTATTCTGCTCCGATTGAGCTCAAATTTTGACACGATATACAAACCGCGTTAAATATTGTTATTATCTATTTTTAGCATCAGTTTTGTGTGCCACAGCAGATTTGTAATAAATATTTGAACAATTATTTTGATCTGTACATATTATGATGGTGAATTTATAGAAAAAGAAATGAGAAAATCTGTCTGTTATTTTACTCCCAATCTACCTTGATATAGACTTCATCATCATCAACAGTTTTTAATATTCCACTGCTGGACATATTCCTCTCCTTAGAAAGGAGGTTTTGGCCTACTGTAACACGCTGGCCAGACGGGTTGGTAAACCCGGAAGTCCCCCGTGGAGTTTTGAGGCGTAAGTGCTCGCCGAAGTATATCGGCGGATGACTGAGTTCCGGGCGGTGAGCGGTAGTCGGCCCCCGCAAGAAGTAGTACGCGAGTGGCGCGAAGCCGCTGGTCGAACGACGATGACTCTTTGGTCGGCTGGTGACTCCATGAGCTGGTTTTGCTCTAGCCGGTCATCATCCAATGGGCAGGGCGGCAGCACGGGACCCTTTCTTTCCGACTGACGCAGGACTTTTTCGGGCACGGTTGCTTCGGGAAGTACTAGGTCTGCACTAGGTTGCTAGGAGGGAACTGAGTCCCGTCTGTCACCACTGCGTTTGCAGTGAGGACTGGGCTCAGCACACGCTGGCAAGTTGCCCGGCTTGGGCGTCGCAGCGTCGGGTCCTCACTGCAGTCATCACAGCTCCGTGGCCGGTAGTGATAGTTGTTTTACCGCTGTTGCATTGTTCTGCGAAGACTTTATCTCACAGAAGGAGGCGGCGGAGTGGAATGGAAGGATAATCTTCACTTGAACCCAATTCGCCGCCGATGAACCGGGCAGCGAGAGGAGGAGGAGAGGAGCGGAGACGCGCTCATCCCGCCCTGAGTGTAGACACGGGTGGACGTGACGGGTATTCCTCTCCATCCGTCATAACGTTCAGCCCCGAGGAGGCGACGTCTGCGTGTGCATGATATCGCCTAAATAGAGAACGTACCCGAAGGTGGTGCCCGCGCCCTTACGGGCAGGCGTTAGGAGGGGTCCGAATGTTTTAATAACAGCAGTTCCTGGTACCCTTATACTACAGGCGCAGAGTGGCATGTCGTGTGGTTTTAGTCGGTCCGATTCCGACATACCACCCTGCCGTAAACCCCGGCGGGGTGACGGCTTGAGGGGGTTGCCATACGTAAAAAAATGGGTTTGTTTCAAGTTTGCCTTCTCTTTGCGGTGCTGTTGTCCTGCGTAGTTTGCTCCCTTAATCGTCTCTTGCGATACTTATGGAATGAATAAGGTGGTTGAATAAGGTGAATAAGGAATGAATTACTCTGTACTCTGATTTGGACTCATTGGTCCCTAATCTCGATCTGTAAAATTATGATCAGTGTGTACTTGAGATTAGTGCTTGCAATTACTTTAGCGTTAATTCGCTTTTGATAATTTTATATTTATTACAGGAAAGTTTAAAAGTGAGTACCTACTCTATAACAAATTCATGTCTTGTTTCGACATAGTAAACATTTCAAGAAAAAAATTCCCTGAATATATTCTTGAAATACTTAAAACTCTTTTAATATTTCATAATGTTGCTGGCTTTCAACTAGATTATACTTTCATAGAGCATATCTGACTGCTAATGGATTTAGATACTTTAAGCGAGTTTTCACTATTTTCAGTTAAATTTGTATCGTTACTATTTCAGCATCGTTACATTTTTCATCATTTTTATATACTATATATCTTACCTTACTTATTATATACTATATATATGATACGATATATATACGATATATATAGATGGAATTAGAATTCGGAGTATCACATTGGTTGGCTTTTACGACACCCACGGGATGCATAGGGTTCATCCCATGGGTATCGTTAAGGCAACCAGCATTTCATAAAAAAGTATGGTATTTCTAAATGAACTTAAGAATAATATTCTACTACATTCACACAAAGCCATCTAGTCCCAAACTAAGCAGAGCTTGTACTACGGGTACTAGACAACTGATATAAATACATATATACTTTTTTTTCAAACAACCAGAAACACCTAGACCAAATCAACATAACTACATTGATTTAAGTAGATCAAACTGTTATATCTATATAGTTGAAAATGTAGCTTCTATAATAGGACTTGAAGAAATCACTTTAAAGATAACAGGACCGCTCTCATTTGCTACACCTGAATGAAATTTAATATCTATAGTAAAGTATTCCTCTATATTCACAGATAATGTCCATCACAGTGCAGAACCGTTATTCAGCTATCACAAAAACAACTATATAGTTCAAAACGTGAATTCAAAATTTAATTAAAAAACCAGAGAGTTGACAAGAGAGTTGCAACTTTTAAATTGCTTCCCATTGAAGCGGCCGAGGAACAATGGCTTCTCGTCGTGGGAACTGTGCGGAAACAAACCTAGTTGTTTATATGTGATATAGAATGGGGCAATGCTTATACTGATATTTTGCCGCAACTTGTTGTAGTTCAGTAGTTTTTGAAAAGTAATACTTTTCAAAAACTACGTTACGAAAAGTTTCTTTATTATGGGTAATCTCGCAATGTCAACTTGATTATTATGTTACACTATAAAAACACGTTTTGACGACGAATGGAATTGAAAGATAAAAGAGGCAGTACTATCCACTTTCTGAGTTCATCATCACATGACATTACCAAGCTCTATATGTGGGACGCATCAAAACTCCAAACTCTAGGGTTTCACTAATAACCACTAAAGGCTGCCACTATTCAATAGTGACTTCTGGATTAAAGCATATTGAAAACAGGCAGAATTTCGCTCCGAAGATTTCGCTTTAAATTATCCCGGGTACTCTATAGCTGTTATAAAGCAATTGTCGACAAGTTAATAATTCAATATTATTGGTAACAAACCCAAATATGTATTAAATGTATTTTTTTAACATTGTTCCACAAAAACTACACGTCCATCTAAAGGCACGGCCATGAGATGACAAATACTGTGCTCTGATTCTAAAATGAGTCGTTAATTAAAGTATAATATTATTATCTGTTGTCTGCAGGCGGTGTCAGATGAAATGCTCGTTGAACTTAAAGCCTGTTTCATGGAGGCTTACGATGATAACCAAGATGGCAAAATCGACATAAGAGAGGTAAGATTAATCTTATAACACATATATATTTTAATCATAAATCATACAGTTATGATAAATATTATTAAAGTGACCGATATAACAAAGGTTAATAAACCAAACCACTAAGTAAATTCAAAAGATACATAATCATATCTTACTGGAAAGCGCAGCATAAGTAGGGCTCCCACACAAGGTGGTCCGACGACCTGGTGAAGGTTGTGGGAAGCCGTTGGATGCAATTTTAAGGGGAGGGGGGGCAATGTCTAGCAGTGGACGATGATGTTGATGATGATAATAATCATATCTTGCTGCTATTCTCCCATTCTTATTTAGGGTAGACGCAATGTGTAACCGCTTCTTTTATGGTCAGCCTGTCTAAGGCAAACCGTCCTTAGTGATTGAACCGTTTTCAGACAGGATAAAGGAAAGATGTAAAGAAGTGTGAAGAAAACTGGATAGGATGAGGGTGCCAGGGTAAGAGATACCGCAAGTTTGGAATGAAAAACGAGATTGAGAGTGCAGAAGTTTGAAGAGGCCTGGCTCCCGTGTCCGCACGTTAGTTCTGCGGTTGGAGAAAAAGGCTAACAAAGGACATCTTCTTCCTCCTCCCTTCTTCCGAGTCTTTTTTCCCAAACTTCGATTTTTACGCGGAACTATTGATACAGACCTCCACAACTCAGGTACTAGGCGATGTCGAAGTTCTGTAGAAAGACTGTTGTCAGACGTTTTAGCGCTCCAACTATCCATAATAGTTACTACAGATTTTCGTATGGCAACCGGGACGAACGACTTAACTTGCTCTCCGAGGCACGTAGGAGTCTCAATGTGTTAAAAATGATCACGCATATGGAAGACTGACCTGGCTAGGATTGTTTATCTTTCCAACTTGTTAACTTACTCTGTTAGCACTTAGCCACGAGCCCAAGGGACATCTATTAGTCAATTGGAAAAGTATATGTTTTAGGTACTAGATAGCCACCAGGAGCATTCAGAGTTCTTAATCAAAAGGCCTTTGAGTACGATAACGATCTAATAACTTGAGCGTATATTTTGTTACAGTTGGCACAGTTACTGCCAATGGAAGAGAATTTCCTGTTACTCTTCAGGTTCGATAACCCCTTGGAGTCAAGCGTGGAGTTCATGAAGGTAATCTTTTTTTAAACAACACTATACCATAACACACAGGCATATTGCGTTGAGCAAGATAGCTAGTTCTTGTTCCATTTAAAGTTCATATGAACTGCGCATTAATTAGGACGTAAGGAAAACTACTAGTACTTTCTAAATACATTGCTACATAATTTCTATGATGTATTCTGTGTATTCTATGAGTGTAATAAAAAAGTAAAATATCAAATTTATATTTTTCAGACCATTAAGGAAGAAAAATTAACCTATTTCGCATACGGAGCTCTACCATTTTATGAATAGTTTAGTCTGAATTTTTTTCTTTTAGATATGGCGAGAATATGATACCGATGGCAGTGGTTATATCGAGGCTGATGAACTTAAGGTAATCAGCTGTCCTAGCATACATGTGTGTGTCAATAGAACCTACATTTTAAGTGCAGTATGATGAAATACTGTAGTGTGCAAATGATAAAGAACAATCGTAAACTGTTTTAACATTTATGTCTTAACATATACAGAAACCTGATTAGCATTGTGAGGTCCATTGACACACAGATAATGTAGATTTTGTCAATAAATTCTATTGTGATAGGATTAGTTTAAACATAAAAAATGTCAATTTGAAGATCATTTGGTAATCAATACAACTACATGGATTATTAAGATCTTCTAAAAAAGTTGTGACAAACTCGAATCGAACACCCAGTCTTGACACAAGAGACGTTTAATTATTACTTATATTATTTTCCAGAACTTTCTTCGAGATCTTCTGAAAGAAGCAAAGAAAATTAACGATGTATCAGAGGACAAACTTATTGAGTACACTGACACCATGGTAAGTTTGAATAAATTATGATATACTGGTCCAAACCCTTGGCTTGACTCGTGATTTTTTTTAAATTTCGTCAAATAAATATTTCCTTGACAAAAAGTATTGTTTTTCTGACTGTAATATATTCTATGTTACTAACTATAAATTGAGCTCATACGATAAAATAATAAGTATTAATGTGATAAATAACTCCACTGCCATTTTTTATCGACTGGGAGTTCCAGAAGGGAGGGACTTACATGTAGGTAGTTTGTCTGAGATCTTTATCACTATAAAAGCAGAAGAAGATTTCTTATCCAAGTCATTGATGATGCTAATAAAATTACCATCCTAAACAGACTATTACAGTTTACTACACACTGTTTACATACATACAGTATATACATAGACACAACCACTCACACATCAATACCATATAATTTACACAATGTTTCGATGAAATTGCTGTAATCGTGTTCACAGGTAGATTTTTTCTGTAGCGAGTGCTTAAGATGCTCACTTGGCTTCAAGAGTATACGAGTATATCGTAAGGTCGAGTATATTATGAGAAAGGGGTGAGTGAATGGGTGACTCCATGAAACTGAAATATTATGATGGTTTTTTGTTTATTTGCAGCTTCAAGTATTTGACTCCAACAAAGACGGCAGATTACAACTTTCTGAAATGGCAAAGTAAGTATTATTATTAAGATAACATTTTACTTAAACGGGTCTCTCTCTCTCTAAGCCCTTGTCGGTGGAGCAAACGCTGCTCCTCTCTATTTCTTGCAATCTGTTTGACCTCTCGATAGGTCACTACTCCCGCTTTCTCCTTCACTTGCTGTATGTACGTTGATCAAACGGTTCGGTTCCTTCGGTTTCTCTTGCCTTCTATTTTTCCTTCCAACTTATATGGGTAAAAAAGCCAATTCTTGAATTTGAGAACTAAGTGTAATTGCAAATTTGGAAAACAACCTAGAAGTTAGAATCGTAGGAGAGCCATGCTTTGACACAAATGGGCCGGCTCGATCGGAGTAATACCACGGCCTAACAGAAAAGCAGTGTTAGGCAGTTCTCTCGTTGATTACCACCGAATGAGTGAGGTTACAAGAGACTAAGCCACTCCCTTCGCCCTGATCATCTTTTTTTATTTATTATTTACAATGGGCAACAATGCACTTATGACCCTTGAAATGACGGTGTCCATGGGTCAAGGTCGTCACATACCATTGGATGACTCGTCTGGTCGTTTGTCATAAAAAAAGAAATAAAAAAACGAGTGTTTTATGTATTAATAGGTGGGCATACGTAAGAGCCTATAGTTATTTGTTTTGGTATCAAAAATATACATTAAAGACTTTAAATGTATTCAACTGATTATGTGCCGACTAGTAGAGTCGACTGAATTCCCGGATAGGATTGGGAAAAGGGGTAGATGAAATATCGCTTATTGCAATATTTAATCAGTAGTACACGCCAGGCAGAATTCTTAGGACTGGGCATTACGTGAGGACTTTTATATGAATGAATGAGATAGATTCTTATACTGATGTATTACTCGACTGATTAGCACTCGAATGCTTTTTTTCAGGATCTTTACTCACGTCAAATCCTAAAATCACTATAAACAAAATACTATCCGTTCATCGAGAATTAACAATCTTTCATTGGAACTCCATAAATTCAATGTTCAACATACTTTTGAAACAAATTTAATCAACTGGTTGGAGTATCCTTAGTCCAATTAAATTAGGAAATTTCTATTGATCCCGAATATAGTTATTTCATTATTGGTCTTCAACTATATATATCACCCTTGAAATTGGATAAAACCGACTCTTGAAGCATTTGAAATCGACACCTCTTCCAGAAACCTCCCACTAAGTAAAACTAAGCTTAGTTAAATTAAACCTAAAAACGATGTGTAACACCTGCAATCACTTCCAAAAATATTAAGATTCTGATTATAACGTCGTATTCAGTTAGTAGTCACCAGGAAAGGCCCCGGCCTTTAAAATAATCAAGATAAGTAAGTATTAGAGTGCGTTGCACAGTCACAAGCCTTGTCTCAGAGGAAGTGTAGGTCGAGTGTTTTAATTTGGTAACAAGCTGATATAAAACTTCGAAAATTATCCAGTATCTTACGACTGCAGTAAGATGCTTCTAAAAAGAGATCCTTACATGAGACATTACTTTTATATAATAATTATTTTACCGAATATAAAAATGTGTTTGCAACTTCATATATCGATCATTCTCTGTTTTCTGTTGTTGTTTTCCTAAGTCTGACTGTAATATTGAGATACTTCAAAAAGACATCAACAGGATTCTGAAAAGTTATTAATAATCCTCGTGCTGTCAATTTCTTTGACTATGGTACCGGTAATTAGCAACTAGTTTTAGTACTTATCGACAGATTAACCGTAGACTTATTAATTTAATCAATGGTACAAAGAAACACTGTTAAAATAATAACTAGTTTACCTCTTAAAACCAGACCAACCAAACATTTTTAATTACTTGCATGTTACAGATTACTTCCTGTCAAAGAAAACTTCCTTTGCAGACAAGTGTTCAAGGTGAGTGACATTTCATTTCCCGCCCTTCGCCATCTTTGTAACCGCCATATGATCCATGCAAACAGTTTTAGGTCTTGCAAAGAATGTTGCTATATGTTAAAAATAGATATAAAGTTAAAATGTTGATGTAAAAGGTTTTTAAAATTGATTATTGAAATTTTTTGCTCCGAATCGGCTTAAGTTTTACAACCCGTATTATTTTACTATTTATGTATTTGAGTATATTAAAAAGAAAGAATTGCATAACACGGTTCGAAATAAAACTAGTGATGTTACCAGGTAAAAAGTAAAGTAACAACGTAAATTGAAAAAAGTAATAATTCACTGAATGGCAGTCCATTATCACCCAAGCCATACAAACAAAATCCAGTAGTGTGGAGAAGTAATCGTATTCACCTAACATTCATGCTTATGCCGCACATTTTCACATGTAATGATTAGTCTTTCTTTAGCATTGCAATCACTGCGTGATTTATTTTTAAACATATTATTTGCATGCTCAATATTTTAGACTATATAAACAGGAGAATGAAACACTCAAATATAGATATTCTTTACCACAGATAATAATAATAATAATAATAGCCTTTATTTCGGACAGTTTTACATCTACAGTATTTAACATCTTAATTATTGTAAAAAAATTTTACTTATATATTATATATCTTATCTATTACGCTTAACTATTACTCATCGACAACTCTGTCTGTGTGCCACTTATTGGCCAAGGCCTCCTCCAACTTCTTCCATTCCTGTCTATCCTTAGCAGTTCTCGTCCATGTGCCCCCTGCTAAGGCTCTAATGTCGTCCACCCATCTTCGAAGTGGTCTTCCTTTTTTTCTTTTCTTATGACTTGTGAACCAGTTCATTATCGATTTCGACCATTTCTCCATTCCTCTAATTGTATGGCCTGACCATTTCCATTTTAACTTTTTTATTGTTGTTGTTACATCTTTTGTTTTCGTGTGTTTCTTTATGGTTTCGATTCTAATTATGTCGGATAGTTTTTTCCCCATCATACTCCTTTCCATGGAGTTTTGGCAAGTTTCTAACTTTTTAATGTGTGCTTTAGTGAGTGCCCAGGTTTGGCAACCATAAGTGAGTATAGGTAGTATGCTGGTATCAAAGAGTTTTCGTTTGATGGTTATGTTAGTATCTTTATTTTTCATTATTTCCTTTAGGTTCCAAAATTGTTTCCAGGCATTTCCAATGCGTCTGTCAATTTCTTTTGAGGTTAGATCTACAGGAGAGATTATCTGGCCTAAATAGATATATTCCTTGACATATTCAATTGGGTTATTATTGATCAGAATAGGTTCTTCCTTGCCATTGGTCATAGCCTTGGTCTTTGATGTGTTCATGATCAATCCCACTTTACCACTTTCTCTAACCAGGTCACTCAGCATCGCTTGCAGTCCATCACTCGATGACGAGAGGATTATCAAATCATCCGCAAATCTTAAATGTGACAAGTTTTCCCCGTTAATGGATAGTCCACATTTCTGCCAGTCCAATTGACGAAAGACTTCTTCTAAAACAGCAGTAAAGAGTTTCGGCGATAGCGGATCGCCCTGACGTACGCCTCTGCCTATTATAATGTCTTTACCTTCCTTCTCTAGTTTTATTTTAGCCCTGCTGTTATCGTAGATATTTTTTATTATTCTGATGTATTTGTTTTCAATACCTTGGTTTTTGAGTGCCTGCCAGATTTTTTCATGCTCTATTGTGTCGAAAGCTTTACTGTAATCTACAAAGCAACAATAGAAGATTATGTTGTATTCTTTGCCTTTTTCAAATAGTTGTTTGATAACATGAATGTGGTCTAGAGTTGAATATCCGCTCCTGAAACCCGCCTGCTCTCTTGGTTGGTTTTCATCTAACGTATTAGTTATTTTGTAGAGTATAATTTTTGCGAAAACTTTAAATATATTTGACATCAGACTTATGGGCCTATAATTATTAATGTTGTTTCTATCTCCTTTCTTGTGTAGAAGTACTATTGATGATGTTGTCCATTGGCAAGGTATTATCTCGTTTTCTAAGACTTGGTTGAAAAGATGTTTGAGAATTGGTATTAGATGGTTTCGATTTAGGATGAGGAACTCGTTGCTTATGCCATCCGATCCTGGAGCTTTATCTGCTTTTTGAGTTCTCACAGCTCTTTCCACTTCCTCACTTATTATGTCCGGTACTTCACCTCCTCCTGTTAGGATTGTTGTTTGTGCAGTGATTTTCCTTGAATATAATTCTTTAAAAAATTGAGTGGCTATTGATATGATTTCAGGGCGTCGCTTTTCGCATTCATAATTTTTATTTATTAAGTGTGGTATCCAATCTCGTTTTTCCAATAGTAGTTTAGCTGCTTTTTTGGTGCCTCCAGTTCTTTGTATGCATTTCTCCAGTTGTTCCAATCTGTATCTCTGACGGTCTTTTCTCATGTGTGTTTTAATTTTATTACTTATATTGGCAATATCGTTTCTTATAGTTTTTGTCTTTTCAGGGTTAGATATTAGGTCTGCTCTCTTTCTTATCAGTTCTTTAGTTTCATTTGTTATCCATTTTGTCCTGTTGTTTCCACTGTCTAGTTTGCCCTTTTTATTAGTATAGAGAAGTTCTTGGAATTTGTTGTATTTACTCTGTATGTCTAAGTCTTTTGTTTTTTCTATGAATTGTTCTAGTTTTTCTTTTAGTGAATCAGTACTTTCTAGTGTTACTCTCTTAACTTGCTTTACTTTGAAGGGTCTATTCTTTGAAGGGTATATTTGTAAATTAGCTCTTATCATCCTATGGTTGCTGTTAAAATTAATATTGTTCAAAACTCTACAGTCTCGAAAATTTTTGCTTTTGTTTGTTAGTATGTAATCTATCTCGTTTTTGTGGTGACCATCTGGAGATATCCATGTCCATCTGTTGTTCTCACGTTTTCTATATAAAGTGTTTAGTACTTTTAAGTTGTTTTCGTATGCCAGTTGTATAAGTCTCTCCCCATTTCTGGTTCTTTTTCCTGAACAATACGGGCCCAATACCATTTGTTCTCCGTCTCCTCTTGTCCCTGTTCATGAAATCTCTCATTACTACCAAATTTTTGTGCGAGTGATTGTTTATTGCGTCTTGTAACATAAAGTAGAAGGTGTCGATTTCTGTTCTACTTGATTGTTCAGTTGGAGAGTAAACTTGAACAAACGACCACTTTTCGTTATTCGGAGGTAGTTTTATATTTAGTATTACAATACGCTCCGAGACGCCAATGAACTCGTCAATACAAGGTTTTAATTCATGTTTTATTAAGAATCCTGTTCCATATAAGCCTGGTGTTTCTCCTTTATAATATAATATATAATATAAATTTTACCACAGATAGTGACATAAAAATGGTATTTGCAAAAATGGCAAAAATTACACAATGATATGAAATTTTAAATTATTTTAAATATTTAGTAGTTGAAGTCGTTCAAATATATTCTATTCACATACTAGCGATCAGTTCTTGAAGTAAAACTTCTTTACGCACGCTTGACTTGGGGAGTAATCTGGTGAATGCGTGACGAGAGCGTTATGAAAAGTGTGATCGGGTGAGGCGAACGGAAGTTGAGAGGGAGATATAAGTTAGTGAAGATGGAAAGAGAGAAAGTTACGTTTCGTATATTATGTAGGGCCAGAGAGAGGTGCAAGCACACATTTTCTTTCTCTCTTTGTCTCCTGGCCAAGAAGTTATACTTCAGTCGTAGTCTAAAGCACACTCGTTTCTATTTACATAGTCGTTGCATCAAATCAAGTAATACCTCTTTTTCCTTTTTATTTTCTGCTTCTAAGAGTATCAGAACATATCACGAAGGGCATAATTCATTGCTTTACTGGCAATAAACATTGACATACCCATAAATGCTTCATACACAGTAAAATAATCACGAGTTCAGCAAAATATACATACTTGGCCAAAATCGTACACATTCGAATACATATTTTTTTATGCAAACAATGAAAAAACCATTAATTGTTATGTTTTTAACAACAGACTACAATTAAACGAGTTCCTAAATCTAATTTCATATACATATATATATTATGTAGTGTCTTTAATATGTACAAATTTCAAATTTTTAGATCATTCGTGACGTGGACTGTAGATGACATTATTTTTATGGTTACATATTTTAATGTATTCAGAATAATAGTTTCACAAAAAAAGTTAGACAAAATTGACTTCATATTAAAAGGACATAATAGGTACAACTATTTAATATTGGGGGTATGAAATTGCCGATTTGTACTGAAAAATTCAAACTCGTTTTTTTTAAGATGTAACATATTTATTCCATCAAAATATTTACCTTCATTATTTAAACATTGCTGCCATCTAAGCGGTAGTTCATTTATGCCTTGACGATAGAACTCTAGGAATCTAGATTCAACAAACTGTGTGAAAGTATTTTGTTCTGTTTCTGGAAGAAATCTCTTTATTACTTTATTACGTAGAAAAACACTAAAAAAAAAGTAGTCCATTGGAGCAACTTCTGACGAGTACAGAGGATGTAGAGTTACAACGGTTTCTCGATTCTCGGTGTAGATCGATTCAGGAGGGGGGACTGTTTCACTGCCAGTTTCGCCATCATTGTTCAAAGTTCTGCATAGTAAATTGCTGTTATTGCCTGACCAGACCTAAGAAAGCTATAGTCGTCTTACGTCACATGTCACAATTCGATCCAATATTCCTTTTTTTCAGTAGCGATTCAACAAGGCAACACAAGTTTTAACACGCATTTCTTTCTGCAGATCAGTAAAATCATGAGGCACTCATTTTTTATATTTTTTTATCTTATTGATTTGAAGAAAATGAGTCAATATTGTAGGTAGGGTCACGTTTAACCCTGCTATTGACCTGTATGGGCGGTCTTCCACGTGGTCCTTTCTTTAAGTCGAAGTTTCCATTACGAAAGCGTTTAAACCAAAAACGCCGGTGTGTTCATTAGCAGTATCCTGCCGCGTTAGTTCTGCGTCGGATCTCGTATTGAAAAAAGACTCGCATTTTCGAAGTATCACACTTTCACGTCTAAGCTTATTAAAAAAAACAATTGAAAGTCGAAAATCAAATGTTTCACATTTTTTAAAAGAAGAACTTCATAGGTATCATGTGAAAAAAAAACACACGAAAATCTCACATCATTAGGTTTTATTACAATTCTAAGTATCTATTACTATTCAACGGTAATTTAATACTTTAACCTCTATAAATATAATTTACAGGTATTATAAAGTTTCATCTTCAATATTCTGTCTATCATTTTGTCATGTACCTATAAGAGCTTTTCATAGGCTATCAAAATCTCTTAGGAGGTAAAACAGTAATGGATTTCATTGATTAACGTTTGCTACAGCTGCCAATCATATAGTCAAAAGGTTGCTAATAAAAGATAAATGCAATCTTATAATTTTGTAAAAAACTAAGATCGCATAAAAAACATTCAGCTAAAGATTGTCATATAAAGTGTCCTAACTACATGACTATGGTATTTAATATGATGTTAGCCTGCGCATCTTTTAACAAAATATCTAGGTGCCTAAAAAAAGCACGTTTACATGCATACACACATGACATTTTTACAAAAATTATAACACGTTGTCAGTACTCAAATAAAAATTATAGAACTTGTTTACAAATAATTATTTCTATTGTTTGTTTGCCTATCTGTCTTTCTATCCTTGACACTAACGCTTCTATCTGCACTCCGCACTCATAGGAAGGTATGGAGGTGAGTCCTCACGAATTTCGCTTTAAGTAGAATATAATTAGGTAGTTTTAACATAAATACACTTTGAAATAGGACAGGACCTCACGCAGAATAACTATAATACTTAGATCTTCGCAGAATTGAGCCAGTTAACTTCGAAGTTAAGATTAATTCAATATTGCAAACCTTATTTAGCGAGTATAATGATAAATGCCGGCAGTAAAACCTGTGTGTCGCCCCAAATGAAAAGATAAATAGCCATATCAAAGCCTGGAACCAAAAAATAGTAAAAAATATATTTTTGTTTTGTTAAAAATTGTATATTTTAACTGGCGAACATGTCATAACTTAATTTGTAATTTTTGGATGTAGATAGAGGATTCCGCATTTGGATATTTTTATTTAAGTATATGTTCGAGCCCCATACAGGACAACATTTTGTGATTTACACATTATAGTTCTGAGTCTGGGTGTTTTTGTGTCCGTTACATGTATGTTTGTAAAATCCCCTGCGACACAGGATATATTCCTAGTGCGGGAGTTGTCTTTGACAAAAAAATAGGTAAGTATGTTTATACCTAATGAAATACTTATGCCTATTTCTGAATATTCTGTGTATTCCAGCCTTCGTATGTTATTTGAGGCGAATGTAACATTTAAATTTTATGTTAACAGGGCGCTACGAAGTTAACGAAGGATGACATTGAGAGAGTATTCTCTTTGTACGACAGGGTACGTTCTGATTATGTCTACATATTACTTAATTATTAAAATAATGCAATAAGAATCTCTCTCTCCAGTATTACTCTTTTAAATGTTTTTCTTTTGTGAAAATAATCCGCTATTTAGACACTTTATTATTAACATTTTAGAGAACTTTCTCTAATATGACTTGTAAAGAAATTCTGACAAGAGACAAAGAAAGTTAGAACTAACTCAATTTAACTTGGGTACCCAACGAAGCTTTTTACATTACAATCTCGTTTCAGGATAATAATGGCTCAATCGAGAACGAAGAACTCCGAGGATTTCTCAAGGATTTACTAGAATTAGTTAAAAAGGTCAGTACTCAAGGTTGCTTTTTTTTTGTAGGCTAATTTTCCGTGTTGTTTGGTAAAATTGAAAGTAATTCTATCTCCTTTCTGTCACCATGTGTTTCTTTTATTTAGATCAGCGTGTCGCTAAGAGGGTCGCATAGTTATTTTTTTTCCAAAAAAATGACAATAACTCTAATTGAAAAGGACTTTTTTATTTTTTTCTTTAAGTTTTGTTTCATCATTTTTTACTTGCATCTGTCGGTTCGTTGTTGGTCGCAATACTAGCCTTACCCACAGTTTTATTTTCTATAAGCTAGTGAAATTAGTGCCACTACTGTAACACAATCCGAACTGAAACGGTCGGAAGCCAATCAGTTCTAAGTTAATCAGTATTCCATTCTTAGTTCTACCTCCATTTTAACACCACATCCTACTTCTGATACTACATGAAAAAAGTTTTAGTAAAACAGGGTTACAAATCTAATATTAAAATATATGATTTTCAGGATTATGATGCTCAAGACTTGTTGGAATTTGAAGAAACCATTCTCCAAGGTGTCGAATACAGCAACGATGGCAAAATAAGTCGGAAGCAACTCACCATGATACTTCTAGCCCTCGCTAAACACAATCATGAAGAAGAACCGGTTACACCATAAATGTATCCGAATGTAGCCATCACTCCGTCCCGTTATCCGAACGAATTTCTAGCGTCGCGGCACTATGACACATTCAGTTTTCATATTTAATATTCATACTAGAAACAGTCCTTACGCGAACATTCATTTCGTCGTGTTGGATATTTAGCTATGTAAAAGTTTTGGACAAAACTCGTGTAATTATAGTTGGGACAGACAGAGACCGGGGCGGGACGTAACCGCTGCGAGGGCCATTGAAATATACACTACCGTGCATGTGACAGCTTCTATATTAACTAGTACCGTATAACCCGGTTACGCTGTATCACCGTGCCGCCCCAGCCGATGTCTGACTCGGCCATTACCGTGCCATTAGCTAAGACTTTGAACATCGGTAGTTTTACCATTTCATCATGCCATTTTATTTTACTTAATTTATTTTTTGTGTTAGTATTAATGTTGGTAACAAAGCCAATAAATACTTTAGGAATTTAATTTTTAATCGGTAGATTGTTGTAACTTTTATTTGTTTTGCAATAAACAAGATTTTTTATTTATTAGAAAGTGTTAAAGTATAAAATACATTGTATACCTGTATTTTCTGTTTAAATGAAAGACTTGGGTCAAATATTAAATCATTTCAGTAATATTTATCCATCCACTTTGTGGGTAAATATTAATGGTTTTGCATGTGATTATTAATTAATAGGGCCGGGACAAATAGTCGTGTTTGTGGTTATTCGATATACTAATTCTGTTACTTACAGTTGGAAGTCGTACTAAGAATTATTTCAAAACCGATAAAATATTAATTGTAAAGGCAATACGTAACAACAAAATTGGAACAGATTTTTGGAACAACTGTCACAAAAAAATATCGCTAGTCATTGTTTTTTAAAACGTGCCTCGGTCGTGAATCTAGACTTAAAACAAATTATTTGTTTCTGAATAATTACGAAAGATTTACTTTACTCTATTTATGAAAGAATTACAAACATAATCAATTCACTTTAATTTACCTTAATTGATATTCAATTCACTGAAATTCACAATTCCCAGGTGCCCCACGATTCTGAAATTAGTCGGGCATAAACAAAATATACATATTTTATTCCAAATGGAATAGATGTTAGTTTTCCAAGTAAATTGATATGAAGTTGTTTACACATATGTCTTTTTTTATTCGTGTTGCTTGCAAATCTTACAAAATTTTCTTTTTTAATAGCTCTTACACTGACATTATTATACTATACCTATATAACTATAATTCAACTATTTACCTGAACTTATCCAATTTGTACATTAATTGCAACCTCAGTCGATGTAGTTTCATCTAAAATTCCTGCGTTTCATAAATATAGCTACAAAAAGAAGTGCAAAACAAAACTAGATAGTTATAATATCATAAAGCCAAAACAAATGCCAAATATTATAGATATACTCGTAGTTATTTCATTGGAACTCTTGGTCAAAATGAAAATCAGTAAAGTTCTTAACGTAATCCATAATCCAGGCCAATTTCATTCTTGTAATAAACAACCGTAGGTACAAGTTGAAAATTCAATTCCGGTCTACTCTCAATCTTTGCAAATGTTATAAAAGGTACTCTTCTAGTACAAAATCTGTTTGCATTCTCTTAAATTCACAAACCAATTGCTTGCTGCATTTCTTCATATCGATTTGATATTAAGTTGTACTTCTCTGTATGATCATATTAAATATTAATTGGTTTATAGATATGTATGATGAACTGATGCGTACACGCAATCACCTATATTTTAACAGACTTTAAGTTAAAACTCAAATTTAAATCGTGAATTCAAAGTAAAACAATAAAAATAGATTTGAATTGTAAGTTTGTCAAAGGATTACGAAAATAATCTAAATAAAGATTATGGATTATATGTTTATTAATGTTTGAATTAGGCCTTAAGCTTCTGATATTGACCGTTACTTTCAGGTAAAATACATATTATTCTTCTCTCTCTCTTCTATTCTATCTGGTTATATAAATTTTGTCACAAAGATTCTAGCGATATATTAAGGATAGAGTTACATTTCTGATTTTCATTCTAACCAAGAGAGTATTAGAACTATTTTTATAACTCAATTTAATAACTAGTCTAAGACTGTATTTCCTTCTAACATGCCTATGCATACATATCATTCCAAATCACACTCTATTTAAAATCAATATATATTTGAATTAACCTACAAATTATTTAAATACACTTTGTTTGAGGATTATGTTGTTGGATAATCTTGTGTGTTTTGAACCTTATATAATATATTATTATACTACTATTTTTTGTCACTTCTTATAGCTTCTCACATTCATTCTGTCTCTTCAGTCTCCTGATCACGTATTACTGACCTCTTTGATTTAATGTTTATTTCGATTAAAGCATCTTATGATCACATTAACACTGGAGTACCCACTTACGATAATCCGATGATGAAATGGCTTACAAAAATTAGAACAAAAGCCAACTGTCCAAGAATTCAATTTTTGAAGCAGGCCTCGGCTTGAATCAATATTCAAAATCTATCAGTATTATTCATGGTCATAAAAGTCGTGGCAAAGTTCGGATAGTTTGTAAAATATTGCCAAAAGCAAAATGTTTATCCTGCGTTTAGTATTCAAACAGTTAATTCAACCACAAAATACCCATGCTCAAGTGTTTACCATAGTGTGGGTTTAGATTGTTCAACTACACATATTCGGGTTTTTAGCAAATAACTTAAAAATCTCACACAATACTCACATTATACTGCATTTAAGTAAGAATAAACAGCAGATTGAAGTTACGATTTTTAGACATTTTCAGGCCTAAATATTTGTCTACAAATTATCCTACTCATATTGTACAAATTTGTAACTTAGTCTATTATCCTAAAATTTCGTCCACTGTTAGTGAAAAAATTGGGAACCTTTCAAACCCGCTAAAATCGTAGAATTTCTTGGTGTTGTTTAATATCTCTTTAGAAATTTCTCTCTTAATGTCTTAGCTTATCAAATCGTTACACGTAGGCTCCAAATAAAGTGTGATAAGAAATAGACAAGCAAGAAAGGTAACAGTTGTTTCGTAGAAGAAGATAAACATACAAATTAGTTAAATGGTAGAAAAGGATAAAAAATCTGAAGGACGTATTTACGAACAATTTTTTTTTTTTAAATAATAAAAAAAATGTTTTAAATCTGTAGACAATTGTGTATAAATGTGTCGAAAGAAACATAATCTAACAAGTGAAATGTATTAATTGTTTGCACCGCTATGGAGTGAAATTTAAATAAACTTTATTATTGTATTGTTCTGTAATTACGAGTCAAGATGTCAGTCAATAAATATATTTTTGTAGTTGTGTGCCGCCGTTTTCAAATTAGCCAAGACTTATGATAATATATGTATATATTTAGGAAAAAAGAGACTCCTTTCCTACGATGCATTAAAATTGAAAAAAAATGTTTGCGTCACCATCTCTATAAATGCGTCCTCAATAAAATTATTTTCTAGAAGTCAGAATTTAAAAGTATATGTACATATTTATGACGCGTTTAGAAATGAAAATGCAAGAGAAATTTTTATACAGCCAAAATAGGCATAAGTCAATGTTGCAAAATTGTAGGTTTCTGTATACGTAACTTGTACTAGAATTTGATGTTGGATAGTGCGTTGTGTTTAAACTGATTAATGTAAAATGTGATGAAATATTATGTATAAAAAGCGACTGGAAACTAAAGCATTGTATTTGACTCGATTAAAAGTTATATAATAATTTAGAATTGATATTTTTTATTTTACTGATCTGAGCTTAAATTGATGTTAAATATAAATAAGTATTATAAACTAGTCAATGTTAAATTACCCTGATTGTGTGTAGAGGCCTTTTGTGTATTTGTTTAAAAAAAAACTAAATCTGTGTTGTGATGGTATAATGTTTAGCTTTAACTATATATGTATTTACTCAGTATTTACTGGTGAGTTTATCAAAATATATTATGCACAAAAACCATTTTGAATAGGTACCCCATTTTAAATGTGTTAGAGAGACTTTAAATAAATTACGTACACTCGTACATGCGGGAATTAACTCGGTTACGTAACATTACAGACCTATGAATTACCTGACAATTCATCTAGGTTCTATAGTCCAAGTTGTGTAGTTTAAATGACAGTTTGACGTATAACGTAATCGCGCTAATTCCTTTACGTACACATATGTTATGCAACGCGTAAGTTTAAAGTTAAAGAATTTATTAAAGTCATCAAAAGAAAAATAATGTCTTAAAATATTTTATCACTCTCTTTAAATGTTTTTAAAACTGAATAGTTTAAAAAAAATGTTAAGTCGATTGTTACTGAAATTTGTTTTAGTCTATAGGTAATAAGATTGTTTCAAAAACACAATTTAATGTTTGAATGGAATTTCGGTGTTAACGGTTGCTCAGTTGTGTGATATATTCAAGTATTTGTATGCCTGTTGATCTCCCTTTTAATGTAGGCATCGTCATTATAATCTTTCCCCTTTTCTATTTTTTTCAGAGATAGCGCATAATTAGCAATATATGGCAAATAATTTTGGCTTGTATCTTTATGACCGGCCGGCTTCTAACCAAGTTAAACATTTCTTCATCAGACAGTTTGACAGATAGTAGCTCTATTCTTTTTTTTTATTTCTTTTTTTTATACAAGGGATTTTTGTACATAAAAATGACGATGTCAATCCCATAGCTCTATTCTTTTATTGGCCACAATAATTATCGATAAAAAATCGTGATATAGAAATGTTCCATTCCCTTTAAAGTCGTTCTTTTGCAGAGGCGTCCATATTATCAAAAATCCAGTATTCTACTAAAGCGGGTAAATTAAAGAAATAATAGAAAAACCGTTTATTTATTTAAGTTGTTATTATGTTATTAGGAGATGTATTAAATCATATTTCATTAAATAATTAGAAACACTTAATCTTACTTACATATTGCTCAGAATGTTTATAGCAAAACTGTCAAAAAACATCATCTTTTAGCGACTTAGAACATTAATATTAGGTTAAGTCCATTTATAAGTACAGATGTCACACTTTACTGGTCTTGAATATAACTCAAGGGAGTTCAATAGGTGATTAAATTCCATGTCTATATATTATAACTTACACAGTATTTAAACTAGTTCTTTTGTTCAAAACCTTACCACCAAAGGCCTTACCTAAAATACACAAACACTGAACCGACGGTATTTCTTACAGAAGTTAATCCTTATTTAGATATTATAATTATCGTGTAAGATGGTAATTATGTGTGCTAAATATGTTTGTTTTTAAAAATAACCCTCATTGATGTGTACGATATTCAAAGTAAAAAAAAAAACACAATTTTTAAAGTGTAATGAGCGTAAATCCTACACTTGCAATGTTTGAATTAAAATTAAATGTTAATGTCAAAAGAAAAGACATGATTTAGGGCTGATTTTTTAATCAGACAACGACATTCTTCTTGGTAGAAAGGTTAGGGCAAATAGCCGGAGGGGCGAGACGGCAATGCGGCATGAGCAATTTAAAATACTAACCCCGAGCACGACGTAACGATCATCAAGGGTATTGAAAATGATTTTGACATACCTGTTGATCGCGGTAAGCGCATATTAATCATTATATGAAATTTCCCATATTAACCAATACCAAACAATCTACTTACGTCCCCTGCCGTCCTCGTCTGCCCTACCAAAATTACAACACGAAACATGATATATTATAGAATTTGGTTTTGCCTTTGATTTGTGTGAAAAAATAGCCCTTAATCGACTTAAAAGGTACTTACATAATACCTATTTAAAATTTGCAAAATTTGTTTTGATTTAGTCCTTTGCCTGGCACTAAATGTTAAAGTAAGGTTGGTATAATGAATGTTTGATATAAAATGTTTATATTTGTAAAATTGTTTTATTATTTCCTTACTTGCTCTCTGTCTGTCTAAAAATGTAAGCGTCTTATTCAGGTAACAATCCTGTACAGAAGAACGTTTTAACAAAACATGAACTGGTTAATTGATTGATACTTAGCATTGCTCAGTGACTTTTTTTTGTTATGTTGTTTTTGTGATTTAATTGTGTGTACTGTTAGAATACGATTCAGTAGGTAGTTGTAAACTATTATTACCTATCTATAGTAAACAGGCCCTTTTTTTCTATTCGGAACTCCCCTTGGATCCAACCATCAGTGGGGTAGTAATGTCGGACTACTGTACCCCGACGTACCTCGGGCTATCTATAGATAACCCCCTCCTGTACCGGAATCCCGATGTTCCCTACCTGCCCCCGAAGGGCGTCCGCGCTCCGCAGCGCGTCGCGCGCAGCAAGCAGGCCCTGATAAAAAAATGTCTGTTTACGTTGTACGTGACCAACAACGTATACATATTGTGATTTACTTTATTATAGTAAGTAGTAGAGAGCATTAAATTTATGACAAAAACCTCTAAAAGTTCTATTTTCTCAACACCGATAACAGAACCAGATAACCGTTGGTTAAAACGAGTTCTTGAGTTGAGACCGCGTCTCGGCAAACGTAGTGTAGGACGCCCACAGGCCAGATGGAGTGACGATTTGCGCAAGATGGCTGGCAGAAGCTGGATCCGAGAATCCCAAAATCGATCTAAGTGGCGTGCAATGGGAGAGGCCTATGTCCAGCAGTGGACTGCGATAGGCTGATGATGATGATGATGTTTCAAATTAATCTGTTTCAGAATCTAGTTTGTTGATTGCTCTTAATGACACATTCTGCATTATTTCAAACTCAGGTAATACTGCGTCAACAGATTCAATTACTTTTGTAGAGTTAGACAATGTTTCATTTTCCCGAGACTCATATCCAATTTCTTTGAGTGATTCGAACAGTTCTACAAACTCAGGTGGTGCCTCGTCGCCCGCAGATTGAGCCATAGCTTCTTCACAATTCTCAGTTGGCGTGTGTGTTACATCTGTGTGTGTTACAACAAGTGTTACATCTGACTGAGATTCTACAGATGCTCCTCTGACGTAGACAGCCAGGAAGGCCAGGCCAAAAATCACTGGATTCTTCATCTAAAAAATTATAGAAAATTATCACCAATGCGTTACGATCTATTATTTTATCTTAGATAATAATAATAATAACTTCACACATCTACCACATGGCCGTCTGATCTTAAACTAGGATACTACCCACCGGTGGTTATGTCGGATATGAACCGATCAAAAACCGCACGCCGGCTCCACCAGTAGCCGGGGAACCAGGTGTACCCTAGGAAGAAAATCCCTTTAACCCCGACGGACCCCGGGCCATCTTCTGTTAGGGTGACAGATGGAATTACCTGCCTCCCCAGGCCTGCGCTTATGGAGGATGGAGGTCGTTTTGAGTCTCCTGCGGTACGTGGCCCGTTACTGGGCCTGAGGGACCCGCTCCGCCGTCTCTTTAGCAAGCATTACTTCCTCGAAGAAGGAGACGGCGGAAATCTTCGCGCTCTCACTTCGTACCATGGCCGCAATCATGATATTAAGCCAGAGAATTCCCACTCGGATGGCCGCTAAAAGGTCACGCCTCTGTTCAACCCACGCCGGCATTCTGCTAGCGTGTGTATACGTTCCGGCCATCGCAGAAACTAGGCAGAGCCTAACGAACAGCTATGGTAACAAGACTGCTGATATAAATACTTAAATATTTCTAAATTCATACATCTTACAGATGAATTACACCCAGACACAGAATAAACAATCGTGCTCAACACACAATTATGTCCTGGATGAGAATCGAACCAATGACCTCTGGCTTACTAATTAGGGCCACCAGACCAACAGACCCGTCTACTAATTATAGACCAAATCAACTAAAAGTGAAATGACATAAATTCTAAAGATATAGTTATCTAGATTTCTTTCACCGTTTCTTTCATCGTTAATGATACAAAAGCTGTACGAGGAATTTGTGTAATTAATAAATAAAAGCAAGTCCGATTTAGATTTAGATCAAGATTATTATAAGTAGACTAGTTAATCATTATTTTGCGTCTAACCTAGACTTGTGAGACGCAAAATAATTATTAATAATGCACACAAATGAGGGTACTAGGTAGCAATAGAACCATTGGTACAACATTTATTGACGGGGTGTTTTCTTCAAAATACTTGCTCCATCCGTGCTGTCAATTTACATATTTTTATTATTATAATCATAATATGTTGATGGCTACGTCATACGCTTTTCTTAGTCATTCAGTCACACTATACGTACATGCTTGCGTGTTTAAATGACATAATGGATACCGTACCTAAAAATATTGTTGGTATACGATACATAAATAAAAAAGATGTTACCTGAAACTTTTCGTGTATTGTAAACGACGAATTTACTTTATTTTTTGTCAACGAAACCACTGGAATGAAGTTCTAATACAAAACTTATGCATTCATCGACATTCATCATTAAAAATTAACACGTAACAAATTGTTTTATTTCACGTTATACATCACTAGTCAGCAGTGGTGTCGTTACCAAAAAAAATGTAAACGACACCGACACACGTTTACAATACACGAAACTTTTAAAACAGGAAAAGTAAACTTACTATTTTACCAATGTCTTCACATCTGGTACTGAAGGTATACCTTCGGGTGACACGGATGGTTTTAAATCAGGTTACAGCTATTTGCCTTTCCTTCTATGTTTGAATATCTTTCAAATTCCTGCCGTGATAGGAGTTGGGAGTAATAAGAGATGTATCTGTATGAGTACAAAAATAATTTTCATTTATATATATATAAATATGTGTATAAAGGTAACTGTTGTGTACTATAATATGGCTAATAAAAGTACAATATAGCATAAACTTTCTAAACGTTTTGCTAGAAGAGACCAAGACCGGTGATAGATCCACCCAATGGAACAATGACGGTTTATGATGGTCGAGACTTACACTTACAACCTTTAGCAAATTCCTCATTCTCATCTTCTTGCTCTTTTCAAAATTGTATTTATGGTCGACGCAAACTATTAGTGGTTTCTTATATGTCTGAACTTCTTGGAAATGTTTTTATCATCATCATCATTATCAACAGCCTACAATATAGTCCACTACTGGACATAGACCTCTCCTTAGAAAGTTTATTAAATGTTTTATTAGTTTGAAACGAGACAAGGAACAAGGCATTTAGGGTGAGAAAAAACGACTAGGGGAGGAAGACAATACTAAATTGAAACTGCAGAATGACGAAGAGTCTGGGGCCACTTACAAATGGGTATTTCCGTGTTTCTGTGATGAAGCTAACACTTTTCACAAAATAAAGTTTTATTTTATTTATTTATTTTACTAGTTTGGTAAAAGAGTCTACGAGGGGCCAAAAAAGGAACAGCTACGTTATTTTATATTTTCACCGAGACCTTTTCAATTTTTTTTTGGCTCTTTGCCAGATTTTATGTGGGGTCATCATTATGAGTGCAAAACTCCCGGAATGCAGGTTCAGCTGTTAAGACGTGGGAGCGTAACAAACAAATAAACACTTATTAGGCCACTGATAAAGAAAATAAACACTTACAAATGTTCTAACTAGACAATATATTATTATTATGATATTGCGTGTAATTCCCGATAAAAACATCACCTACATTACTCATCATAACAATCGTTTTGTGTGTATAAATAGGTATATTATTATCGAATTACAAGTCGATTTATAACCGTAATATGATGACGATTTATTGTTTTATCTAGCTACTAGTACTTCCCCTTCTCAAAGGAAGTACATTTTCATGTTCTAGGTTGATTTATCATTTATAATCCTGATAAATAATATATTTGCAAATATGAACTTTATCTTTACTTTTATTATCCGTTCAATAATAATTTCTATATTCATATTTTTACACGTTCCTTACTAAAGACATCAGTTTTAACTCAGTTGTGACATAAATAAAATAAATTTGAAATAAATTTTAATGTACCCGCACCCTACAATTGAAAATCTCAAAGAATAATTGTATTGAAGTATGTATTAACAAAAAGAAGAAAAGAAAGAAGCCCAAAATTAGAAGCCCAAAATCGAGGGAGACGCCTATGTCCAGCAGTGGACTGCGATAGGCTGATGATGATGATGTATTAACACAAGAAACTAAGCGTTTTTAACGATTATTGATTTATTTTTAAATTCACTTAATTTTGCGTTTAAAATTATATAAACGCAAAAGTTTTTAAGGAAAGATGTATGAATGTCTGATACGCTATTACGCCTGTACGGCTAAAGTGATGATGAACAAATTTGAAATTGCACATTTACATTTTTAACAAAGGCAAATTGATTGAAACATTCGACACAAAGCAATAGCTTTATATTATTATCATCATTATCAATTGCCTTTAATAGTTCACTGCTGGTCATAGGCCTCTATAGGGTCATATGACTCCTTCCTAAGGAGACAACGTCGGGTCCTCATTGCAGTCAATGGAGGTGTCCTCTCGCTAATGGCCGTCATACGTCACACGCTCCATGGTCGGTAGTGACAGTTGTTTTACCGCGGTCGCATCCTTCTGCGAAGACGTCGCAGAAGAAGGTGGCGGAGAGGGCCCGGGAGGATGATCGCCACCGCCGACGAACCGGGCGGCAGAGGCGCGCTTACTCGTACCAGCGCCTCATGCAGCCCTGAGTGTGGCCCCACTCGCGGCCACACTCAGGGCTGCGGGACGGGTTTTCCTTCACCCGCCATAACTAAACTCGCCTAAATAAATAGAGAGTTTACCCAAAGGTGGTGCCCTCGCTGTTGCGGGCAGGCGCTGGGAGGGGTCCGGATGTCTTAACATCAACTGTTCTCGGACCCCTCACGGCACACCGTGTGGTTTTAGTCGGTTTGATTCCCACACCGAGGTGACCGCCCGAGGGGGTTGCAACACGTTAAAAAAAAAATTGTTTCAAGTTTTCCTTCTCTTTACAGTGCTGTTGTCCTGCTTAGAGTGCTCCATTAATCGACTCTTACGACAGCCCCGGTATGAATAATTATGGTGACACTCTGTATTTATGTTACTAATAAAAGGTTTGGATTATTAAAGTTTGTATACAAGAATATACAAAGTAAAGATAAAAAAGACCCTGAAAGATTGAAACCAATATTAGTATTTTATAATGTACATACCTTTATCATTCAATTTGTTAAGGATTACTGTGTAAGTCACAGAAGAAAATAATGTACATCCGTCCTCACAAACAACGCTATGGTACTGACATTATTCAACACACATCAATAGAATACCTTTACTTACACACAAAAAAATATTAAGTAACCAACTTAAACGATACAGTGTCGTCCACACTCATAATTAATCTATTGCATGGATAAGTAGTTACCATACATAACTGTTATACAGAGACAGAAGTTTCGCCTTAACAGATTGAAGAGTCTCCTCCTATTTACAAATACAATTCCGTGATCATTATAATACCATTATTGTTATCCAGCATAAGGGTGCGTTTCCACTGACGTGGAGCTGGACGGAGTTAAAAGGAGCGTACTAATTATTGGCCAATCACAGTGCTCAAAATCTCCACTCCGCGTCAGTGAAAACAGTGTTAGGTCGTCCAGACGTCGTCCTTTCGTAGCTACAGTGACTTGACTAACTGGACTTTACAGTACAGTACTTGTCTGGTTTCGAGCTCTCACTTCTGACATCTCTGCTACACACAGCTCACTTCTCCTCTCCGCTTTGGTGGAAATAACCTACCAGCTTCGCAGCCCATCTCCTCTCGTCTAGTCTCCTCTCAGTTTTGATGGATACTGGGCCTAAGGAGAATGGAGCGGAGCTGAACGGACTTTCAATTAAAATACAAGAACACGCAGCCCCGAGCTGGATAGAACGGAGTCGAGAAGGCTGTGGTGCCGAGCGTAGGGTACAAAGCGGAGGGTAGCTGGATTATGTTTTCATTTTGTATTCAAATAATATGTGGCAATCAGTTTTACTTCATCTGCTTCCGAATGCTCTTCTGGTAGAGAAAGATGTAAAAGCGCTCTTTTCTTTACCAACAAGATGACGTGTCTAAAAGATGTCTAAAAGAGATTAAATTGACTGATCGGGACATGGCTTAATGCAGCTTTGGTCTGCTCAGCTCAACTCTATTCCGCCCCACTCTGCTTCAATGGAAACACTCACCACTTTTCACTGGTCCTCTTCGCTCCACTCCGCCTACTTCTGCGTCAGTGGAAACGCACCCTAGAGAAAAGATAAAAGAAATAAGTGTACATTGTATTTAATATACATTACCTCATTATGCATTCATTGTTTATAATCATATAAAATATGTATTTATAATATGAAATTCAAACAATCCTTTGAATAAATTACAGTAGGGTCTATTCAGATCGCGTATTCTAGTACGACCACTGCATAAGAAAATATTCTATCCCGTCAATTGGTTAGTGGCAGTGAATCTTTACAAATTACAGAAACTAAAAGGAGCTACTTTAAGGTGACTTTGGAACTCTATTTACACCAGGGATCGTAACACGGTGAAGTATTTTCCAGAATAAAGGTTTCTAAGTTTATATACACGTCCAAAAAAATCTTTTTACATAATTTAGCGGTCTTGTTTGTTTTATTTAATCATCCATCATGTTTAAATTTATATTAAATAATTTTATCTCTCTTGCTAGCTTTTGTAAGAGGCTCCACCCGGATATCTCGGTAAAACGTACTCTATAGCACTAAGGAATGATGTATCTCTCTCTCAACAGTCAAAGATATTTTTAAATATGATCAGTAGCACTGGAGATTACCCAGAACATACAAACTTTACCTCTTTATAATATTAGTATAGACTTATTTCAGGTGATGATTCCAGCACTAATCATGTTAATAGCGGCTGTGATTGGCGTTAGCAGTTCCGCTGTCAAGTCTGAAATAATAGACAATTCTGTAGAAGATCTCGAATCCGAGCAAACATACGTCACTGGCAACAATGTGATTGCAGGAGAATTCGATTCAGAAGACCAATTATTACACAGGTAATTTTATGTCCTGAATAAATACTGCATTATTTTAAATGCAGTATTTAAATATATTCTTATAGGGAATTTAATCGTTTTTGAGCGGGTCAAAGGAAGAAGGTATAGGCGTATTAGGCTAAGAAATCCAGTTTGGGTGAAGAACTCCACATACACCAAGGACCTACTGAGGACAAGGAGTTCTTTTGCAGCATGGTGGTGCCTCCGTGTAAATAGTCATAATCCTACTCCATTTAAGTAGATAACATGATTCTTTCGATATAATATACGAACCCTTCCCTCCTCTTACATATTGAAATTGAGCAATATACTAACAATAATAATAAGCTTAATAGATCTCACACACGACAGTCTGATAACAAACTAGGCAGATCCTGCTCGTCACACAATTATTTTTTCTGGATGGGAATCGAACCCGTGTAGTCTAGATCAATAGGTGTGTCAATATATAGTTGTAAAGGTACAGCTTAATAGCAATAATTTAAAAACGTCATAGACGTATGTGTTGGTTATGGCTTCCTATAAGAAACAAAATTAAACTTCGCTAGACCAATGACTTCTTTAGCTGCAGTTCACTAAAAATCCGAACGACCACAAAATAATTTAGCCATTTGTTAACTACCTTATTGCCTACAGGTACTATTACAGTAACCCAGGCCTAGAAAACATAGTCCAGACACTAGAACTCAAATATATTTCTACCACAAACCGAACCAAGATAACCTACATTTCAATTTTGGGAGTTGGCAAAACCAATTGTGGGAGCGCACATATTACGTCTGGTGGTGTCGGCGAAAAATACGTTTTTATCCGACTATCGTCAGTAATGGGGTACGGGTTCAAGTTCTGGATTGAAATTTGGGGTCATAAAGCAAGATAATGGATAATAAAGTGATTGAAATGACAAGATTTTTTTGTGTTTGTTATTTCATATATCTGTTTATATCAGGACTTGTATCTAGTTCTCTCTTCATTGTCTTTTACCGCCTGTTCTATTGATTGTGATTACGCGTTTGTTTTCTATAGAGGCTGAAGTGCACTCACAAAGGTTAAGGCATTGTTATTACAGCTTTGACGAACACTAGGTATGCAGTGCTATATTTTCTATAAGCCCCCTGCTGTTGATATGCGAACCTTTTGATCTAGAAAGCACATTTAGCAACCCAGGCAACGCTAATAAATACCTGCAATATTAAATAGAAAAGGCCATATAGGCAATATTGCAGAATACGAAGTGTCACCACCCCTATTCATCCCATGGGTGTCGTAAGAGTCGATTAAGGGAGCAAGCTACTCAGGAAAACAGCACTGCAAAGAGAAGGAAAACTTGACAAAAACCCTATACCAACCCGTTTGGCCAGCGTGGCATAGTAAGCCAAGACCTCCTTTCTAAGGAGAGGCCTATGTCCAGCAGTAGACTAGTTCCCGTAGTTGGAAAATTAAATAACTATGATTTTGTAGTTCTGAGATAAACGCGATTCAGTGGTTTTTTTTCAGTTAATGTACATTTGTTAGAAAATGTGAGACAATTTTACAAAATTCAATAAAATTAAAAAAAAAGGGTATTGTAAACAGATATTTATCTAAAAATAAACAAAATTATAGCAATTATAACAAGTAGAAACAAATTAACTTAAAGTATTCTTTCAAATCAAAACAGAAAATAATTTAAACCAAAAAAATAACAATATGGCTCTAAAATCAGAGACCTACTTACGAAGGACATACTGAAGTAGTAAGTAAAACTATGAAAAACTTAAAATAGGTATGTTACTTAATTTATTTGCCATTTGACTTATCATTGACCAAAGTTTTTGATTTATTTACTGAGTTATTTATTTTTCCTTCAAAAAAAAAGGTGTTAGTCTGAAGATATTTATTATTCCATCTGTCCGACAAAAATGGCTATATTTTTGGAATGGAATAAGATACGAAAATGCCTGTAAGGCTCAAATATGCGACATGTTTTAGGTGTTTTGAAAATAGGGAAAAGTCAATATTGCCAAAACCGGACTTATTTAATTTTCCAACTACGGGGACGATATGCGCTTTAGCCATTATGATTTAAACAGTATATCATTATTAACGTATTGTATATACAATACAATTGATTTTTATATTTTATATTTATAATATTCCTAAATTTGATTTTTTTACGAAATGTTCGCAACCCAGCAAATGCAAATGTCAGTGTCTTAAGATAATTTTTTTTTAGTGTTATTTAATTTTCCGAAAATGATTCTGACTTTTATCCTTGAATAGCAAGGAAAATTAAGAAAATTTATTTAATGTTATTTAAAAAAAAATATTTTTTGGGCGTTCTGGGCCTAATTTCGGCATTCCTATATATCCATTTGCTATAATAAACTAACGGTAATACCAGCACATGGTGTCGGCATTTCCTATGTCAATCATGAAATATTTGAAGTACATCCATATTTATATTGTTAATGTGGAAGTATATTTATTTGTTGGTTACGCTTTTACGCCTAAACACTAAACGGATTTTAAAAATTCTTACGTAAGTAAGCTACATTATTAGCGAGTACCATTGGCTTTTTTTGTCTTTTGTCACTTGGAAGCCTCAGTAGAAGTACAAAAAAATACTAGATAAAATAGTTAGGTGATTTTAATGATATTAAAAATATCTTTTTTTATTTCTTAATTTTATTTTTAAGCTACTTAGTTACTAATTTCGTTTTTAACCTTGTGTTCTAAAATTTTATTACTTTGTTAGTTATACATCAATTTATTAACTACATTCATTTAACAGAACAATCTTCCTCTTAAATCACTCTCTCTATAAAGCAAAAATTAAATTAACATAACTTGGTTTTTGTACCAGATGTCAGAAATTTAGCAAAAGTTGAAATTTAGGTACAGAACAGCTAGTTTTTGCTATTTGTTTTTAATTTGTAAAGAAAATAATTAAAATAGACAAGATAAATAAAAAATGTTTAAAGAATGTATAGTGGAAGATTTTTTTGCCCAAGAACTTAAAATAGTCAATAGACAAATTCTTTCAAGTACGAGTATTATTTTGATGTGTTTTGTTCAACACTTTGTTTGTTTTAACTACAAAAGAGCAGCTGATTAATTTAAGTAGATGTGTAATTTTTATTTAAGCAAATGTAGCAACTTGAGGATGGTGGCTGGTAGCGGATGGATTCGGACTGCCTAGGACTACTCTTTGGGGTAGGCCTTCGTTCAGCAGTAGACGGCGATAGACTAATGATGATGATGATGATAAAATATTTGGCGGACTTTAAGCCAGTAACGACTACAAACTCATATAAGATATTTACCGGAGAAGATGTCTTGATATTTAAAGGTAAATGAGGAAAATAAGACACAGCCAAGATACAGGAAGAAAACAGCAAAAGTCAGCCCTTACGCACAACAATACTAACCCTATTTCATCATTCATCACATCAACAGTCTTTAACAGTCCACTGCTGGACTTAGGCTTCTCCTTAGAAAGGAGGTCTTGGCCTACTATATTATACCAGACGGATTGGTATAGGGTTTGTTTCAAGTTTGCCTTCTCTTTGCAGTGCTGTTGTCGGCGTAGTCGGCTCTAACTACACCACCGGGATGAATAATAAAGCTATTTAACTACAAAAATAACTATAACGATGTTGATAATATCTTCTGTAATTTCCTTTAAATATCTAAACATCTTGGATGATAAATATATGCACAACCAAAATCAATGGATCAAAATCAACATCTAAGAGATAAAATAAAAGAAATTAACAAATTAAATTAAATTATCATAACTTGAGGTATTATAAAATAAAGATATCGAAGAAATCGGTGATAACATGTACTTTTCACCTATAAATAAGCTGCGTTGAACTGGTATACTATTCAGTCAGGTAGTCTTGATATTTGAGCAGCATTGAAAATATTGCTAAGGTACGTAATTTAAAAATCTTTGTAATTATTTTCGAGAAGAAGATGAATAGCATTACTTTTGTTTTTTATTATCAAAATTGATATTTTTTTCGGATGACTAATCAACTGACTGACTGACTGATCAAAACCTAATGAGGCTAATAAGCCTCATTAGGTTTTGATCAAAAAAATTGGTGTATGTTATTTTGAAATTTTATTCCGTGCTACAACTAAACGTATTTTTTTGCAGATGAAATCCCAAGTTTTGTTCACTGTGTTAGCCATTTTGGCTGCTAACGTCAACTGCACAGTGATTCAGCCTAGCCTGGAATTGAAGAGTTCTCCAGTGAAATTTGCAGAATTAGGAGAGCCGGTTGAGTTGATTGAATATAATGAAGAAGTCAGGAATGAAGAAGATGGCGAACCTGTACAGTACATAGAAAGTTTTGAAGAAATAGAACTTGGATCTCAAACGTATCCAGAGGTTTTCTCGAGAATAGTTCAGCCTAGGAACAGTGTACTATTAAGGTAATACAACCAGTCATCTGAGAATAAGGATTTTACTCTCCTTAAATTTTTTATATTAAATATAATAAACATTTTATTAATTAATTTTGAAATATAATAAACATTATAAATAAATTATAGTAGCAGTCAGTTACGTGTAAGGCAAATAAATAACATTTAGTATTTTGTTCTTGTTACAGGGTAGTACACAGAAGATCAGCGGTGGCGAACACAGTTCATGTACTTAGGGTCAACTACCGTGGCAGAGCAAGCACCAGAATCTCCTCTGTTCGAGCTGCACAGATTGGCGCAAACCTCGGGGCGATTGGACGCGTTGTAGCTGGCGGTGTTGGCAGGAACTTTGCCACAGTAGAGTTAAGGTCAGCAAGGGGCCGCGGCTTCAATATTCAAGTTGATATTTTGGGCCGATTCTAACTTGTTAAAATTTTTGTTAAATATTATCTATTCAGTTAATTTCAATAAATTTGTAAAGGAAAAATATTCAACGTTTTTCATTTACTGAAAAGGAACACTAAAAACAAGCAAATGTAGTCAAATTTCAGAGAGACCAAAAATTATGAGATATTTGTAAATATTTCATAAACAATTTATAATAATATCCTATATAATAATCGGTTAGAGAGTGGCAGCGGCCAGTTTAGTACAACCCTGACCTACCGGACCTATCACTTACAACTTCCTAATCCCTAAGTATTAATTTTTATTAAGGAAGGCAACGGAAGAAAAAAATATCAAGTACCTTTTCACACGTCCTAATTTTATCATTTTTACCTGTCAAAATATCCGTTTGGCGGCTATAGGGGGACGTAGCTATATTCGGTAATATGTTGGTGATTAATGCACCTCTATTCTACGACTTCCAAGATGTCCAGATGACTTCCAAGTCTGTGAGTAGTATACGTACTATCTGTAAGTAAATTATTTTGCTTACGGAACTACTAGTCTCATTTATCCGTTTTTCAACTCTTTTTGCTATAGGGGCAAACGAAATTTAAAAAAATTTGCAGCAATTTACTAGTGAACTTAAGATGTGTGTCAGCTCGCTGACAAACAAATTTGCACTGAAGGCTTGTTAGGGTTACGCTTTTGAGTAGAGCACTACAAATTTGTCAAAACACAGAATGAGCACTATATAAAATGCATTGTTATGTGGATTATATCAATTGTCATTAAAGCAAAATGTATTAATGATGTTGAGTTCAATAGTGTTTATTAATTTTTAAATCTATTCTCTTTTCTTCTTATTACAACTTGGGACATAATTTTTTTTCCCCTGTTGTCCGCAAGAATACGTATCGCCATTTTCTTATTTTTTAGGTTTGTACAATCTGTAGTATCTCGTTCACGGATTTATTCAAGGAATGCTTCCATCTTTTACTAGCCATAACTGTTTGGTTATTTGGTAATAATGGATTTTCAAATCCTAGATTATTAGCAAAAATAAAAATGATCTATCTCTTTGATTGTTTGGTCATAATCTTTCAAATTCTATTTTACATTAAGAGACTCGGTCCCTTGCTGTTCAGTGATTAGGGGGGAAAACAAAAACCTTTTTTTTTCACTTTTGAAAAGTGTTTTTAAAGACAATTTAATGAAATCGATAGCTTTGAATGGTATAAGTATGCTTGTAACTTTTATTCTTATAAATAGCTTGATTGTCTCAATGTTGAGGATTACCTATAGTTTGATGCAATAAGCAACGTTGTTCCAGAGATCCACATTTATTTCATGTTCTCTTTGAAAAGGCTGGACGATGACATAATAATTAAAAATAATTAAAAAAAATTTTTTTATTAAGTTTATTTATATAAAAAAAATGATGTTTTTTCTTTAAACTTGTAAAAATACGCCCATACCTCCTTTCTAAGGAGAGGCCTATGTCCATCAGTGGACTATTAAAGGCTGTTGATGATGATGATTACTATTTTTGTACATAACTACATTTTTTTACTTCTTTTAATATGTTCTTTTCTAAGGTAGAAAAGATAATAAAAGACAATATAATTACAAATTTTCTAAATTACAATTCGTAATTACGTATGGCCGTCTTTCATACACAGCTCTCTGAACATGGCCTATTTCCATAATTTTTTTATTAACACTTAAACAATGTAGGTAAATAACATTTTTCGTTTTATGGTACTGTGAAACCACTAAGGTTTATAGTAAGTACCGTTAGTTCATGTACAGAAAATGGTCAATACATAGTATTTGAGAAATACATTTCGGTATTTTACACAAGGGACATACCTAAAAAGAAAAAAAACATTCGGGGCAAAAAATAGAAAGTAACACTATACTAGCTTGGATAGCTTAGCATATGAGAGTAGACAAAACATTTACTTGTGGTTGTGGAGTTCATTTAGTTAGTTTTGGTATTGTAATAGTAATCAGTAAAAGCAATCATCCTTTTATTGTTTTCTTTATGTTTTATAGTGACAATGTCGAATTATAACTAACTCATGTGACTATTAAAGGATGTCGTGTCAAATATAACTACGAGTATTATCAACATGATTTGTCAATTGCTTCATAAACAAATGTTATTCAATTATCAGTTCATTTATGTATTAATCATAATCATTTCTGATAGGGGAATCCCCGCAGGTACATCCCCGTCGACAATAAAGTAAATGATAATCCATAACTATTAAAACAGTTTATCAATCACCTTTTTTTTCTATGTAGATATTATTTTTAAACACGTCAAATCCTACCGGTCCAAACACAATTTAAATACAATTTACTGAAAAAAAAAATAAGTCCCAGTGCATTTAAAAAAATAGAATACACGGTGTATATACATACAAGGGCCGCTGCTCGGAATCTTGTATTCGAAACCAGTCGAGCGGTAGCAAAAAATATACTCGTATACGGTGAAACATTGATATAATACTTACATAGATGAGTAATTACCGCCTAAAATCGTTGCTACTGCACATCTGTCCACAGGCATATGCGTAGCAAACGTCAATTCAGTGTTCAATGTGGCGTCAACCGAGTTGAACATAGCGACACATGACAGTAACAATCGCCAAAATGGGTAAATGCGTAGTGAAAGAATGCGATTCAAGGTTACAAAACCATAATAAATCATGCGGAATTACTTATCACGTGTAAGTTTATGGTTTTTGTATTGATAATATCGTAAATAAGGCTATAATTGAAATAAAACATTGATAATTGTAATTTAGAATCAGTGTTACCATTAAAAAATCATTTTTGTTTCCCCACATTAGTGGGAGAATTTATAATTTATGAAATAATATGCTTTATACTGTTTTTAAACATTTTGTCAATAATAATAAAATATAGGAAGAACGGTAGTTGTTAGGGCTGAATCGATCACTTTTTTTAGGGACCCGTTGAACGTTCACCTTCTGCCAAGCTCGCAGTACTGGAGACTTTTGTATAAAAAAATTAATTAATTCATTCATTCATTTTTCTTAATTAATTATCAAATATAAATAACAATTGTACAAAAAAATATATATATAAAATAAAAAAGTAAATAAATATAAATAAAAAAATATAAAAAACAAAAAAAAAATATATATATATATATTTTATATATTTTTTATTTGTATTTTAAAATATTAAAAGAATTTGCAATACACCCTGGGGATTATTTATTATCAGTACAAGTTGATCATTCACTTTTACTATTAAATGCCATTATTTATACATAGGTAAAAATAAGATTGTATCATGAAAGTAAAATATTCATACAAACTTATAAAAAAGAGTCTAAAAGACAATTGTATACAAAACTGATGCTTCATAGCGGAGTTTGATTTTACACTGAATTTAAACCCTTTTAGCCAAATATTTCTAGTTATTTTATTATTTATACCTATTCCATTCAATTCGAAATATATTATTTAAAATATTTAAATTAATTTATTTTATTACAAAATTATTTAAAAAAAAAATTGTTTCTTGGTTGTTATGGGTAAAATTTCATACGGTAGTCAACACTGGCCCACCATCGTAAAGTTATGTCTTTGTCTTTGTCTAATTCGAGCGATGGTATTGTTCTTGTCTCGCGTGTAAATGAGACATAAATATGTTTACTTTCAAATGTTTCGTGGTATCAAAGCTACGTCGTCAAAGTTCAAAAGTGGTTACACTTTTTTCGACGTGTGATAATGAGGTTTGCTTCTCTAGTGTTGTTTTAACTCAATGCGGTGAAAGAACAACTGAATACTTAGATTACTTACTTACTTCCCAGATTTATTAACAACCTACCCTCCGAATTGCGAGATATTCTAATGCCAATGAATTTTAAACCTAAACTGCGATCATTTCTTATGAATCAAAATTAATCTATTTTGTTCTTTTGTTTATCTGTTTTGCTTATTGTATTTATGTAGCATTATTTTATAGTACTTAGGGCATACTGAAAGTTTCTGAATCCTGATAAATAAGACTAGATATCAGACTTACGATACATTTATTGTTTTTTAAAGAATATACCCTCATGAATAATGCGTTTTTGCATTCGCTGAAACCACTGTATAAAGCAGTTAGACCAGTCTTCCGCAGGCACTCTTCAAAGGCCTCATAGAATACATTCATCGCCATTTCAAGGCTCGTAAAACGTGTGCCTCTCAGTTTGTCTTTAATTTTTGGAAGCAAAAAGAAGTCACAGGGTGCTAGGTCCGGGCTTTAAGGCTTTAATGCGTCATCAGTTCCACATTTAAAGCATTCAGACAGGGTTCTGTTACCTTAGCGGAATGTGAGGATGCGTTATCGTGGTGAAGGAGGACATTGCTTCTAGGACGCTTTTCACTAACTTTTTCTAAGACACTGGCCACTTCTTTATGTTTATACAAGTACTCGACGTTCGATCTTTTAGGATATATATGACATTATTATTATTCTTTAATCGTAGCAAATATCAATGTTTTGTAATGTACAAACATGAGAAATCCTTTATTCCAACTATCCCAGCTTTCAGATCAGTATCTTTTGTCGCAAAAGAGAATCCTATGAGAATCGTAAGAGAATGACATTAATATTAAATTCTTCAACAAAATTGTAAACTAATCTAATTTTTTAAAAGTTTTTTTTCTAAATTCCATAATAACCATAACATCAGTATTCAGCTAAAACGTACGAGTATGTATTACATAAGTTATACGAGTAGAATAGAATAATATTTATTTTATAACCCACTTAACACTATGACTAAGAAGTCAATGCAAAGGCATATTTAACGTCATTTTGATCATTATGAAAGATTATGAAAGAAATAAATTTAAAATTTAGGTTTAAACAAAAAATAAAAAAGCAAAAGTTTTGGTGAACTTGGTAAGGCAAAGGTAAGTTTTATTTAAAGAAATCTAAGGTGGCGTTTATTTGCTAGGATTTGCTGGTCTGCTAAGACAAAAGCCTTATACTGGCCTGGGGTTAGTTCATACAAAGTTTTTAGGTTTAGAATTTTTTCGGCCCATTTAGCCGTCCAGACAGTGTGCAAAAAGAGCTGTAAAACACTGGGGGGACGAATATGGATTGCTAATCACTTAACAACTTTCTATCAATATTTAGAATCTAATTTATATTTTTGTAATTCATCATAATTTAAAAATTCGTTGACAGACTGGAACGTGTTTTGTAGTCTGTATCTGTCATAAATATTGCAGTCAGCATGCACGTTGATTGCATTATTTGCATGAATTTATACATTTACAAACAAAATAAATGTTATGAATAGTTTGTGTGTTATATGTTTATATTTACAAGACAAATTTTAAGGATAATATGTGTCATAGAACCCTTGATATCGAAATTTAGTTGAACGCTTTGTAAACTACTCACAGACTTGGAAGTCATCTGGACATCTTGGAAGTCGTAGAATAGAGGTGCATAAATCACCAACATATTACCGAATATAGCTACGTGCCCCCTATAGCCGCCAAACGGATATTTTGACAGGTAAAAATGATAAAATTAAGACTATGTCGACCGTGTGAAAAGGTACTTGATATTTTTTTCTTCCGTTGTCTTCTTTAATAAAAATTAATACATAGGGATTAGGAAGTTGTAAGTGATAGGTCCGGTTGGTCAGGGTTGTACTAAACTGGCCGCTGCCACTCTCGAACCCATCATTATCTAGGATATTATTATAAATTGTTTATGAAATATTTACAAATATCTCATAATCTTTGGTCTCTGTGAAAATTGACCATATTTGTTTGTTTTTAGTGTTCCTTTTCAGTAAATAAAAACGTTGAATATTTTTCCTCTACAAATTTATTGAAATTAACTAAATAATATTTAACAAAAATTTTAACAAATTAGAATCGGCCCAAAATATCAACTTGAATATTGAAGCCGCGGCCCCTTGCTGACCTTAACTCTACTGTGGCAAAGTTCCTGCCAACACCGCCAGCTACAACGCGTCCAATCGCCCCGAGGTTTGCGCCAATCTGTGCAGCTCGAACAGAGGAGATTCTGGTGCTTGCTCTGCCACGGTAGTTGACCCTAAGTACATGAACTGTGTTCGCCACCGCTGATCTCCTGTGTACTACCCTGTAACAAGAACAATATACCAAATGTGGTCTATTTGCCTTACACGTAACTGACTGCTACTATAATCTATATATAATGTTTATTATATTTAAAAATGTTTATTATACTTAATATAAAAACTTTAAGGTGAGTGAACTCCTTATTCTCAGATGACTGGTTGTATTACCTTAGTAGTACACTGTTCCTAGGCTGAACTATTCTCGAGAAAACCTCTGGATACGTTTGAGATCCAAGTTCTATTTCTTCAAAACTTTCAATGTACTGTACGGGTTCGCCATCTTCTTCATTCCTGACTTCTTCATTATATTCAATCAACTCAACCGGCTCTCCTAATTCTGCAAATTTCACTGGAGAACTCTTCAATTCCAGGCTAGGCTGAATCACTGTGCAGTTGACGTTAACAGCCAAAATGGCTAACACAGTGAACAAAACTTGGTATTTCATCTGCAAAACAATAATTTTAGAAGTAGAATGGAATAAAATTTCAAAATTGGTGGAAAATTGGTGTATGTTACACCAATTTTCTTAATGAAAAATAATGAGAAATGAATACAATTTAAAATCTCAAAAAAAATATTCAATTTTGATACTAAAAAGTTAAAAGTAATGCTATTCATCTTCTTCTCAAAAATAATTACAACGATTTTTAAATTACGTACCTTAGCAATATTTTCAATGTTGCTCAAATATCAAGACTATATGACTGAATAGTATACCAGTTCAACGCAGCTTATTTATAGGTAAAAAAGTGCATGTTATCACCGATTTCTTCGATATCTTTATTTTATAATACCTCAAGTTATGATAATTTAATTTAATTTGTTAATTTCTTTTATTTTATCTCTTAGATGTTGATTTTGATCCACTGATTTAGGTTGTACATATATTTATCATCCAAGCTGTATAGATATGTAAAGGAAATTATAGAAGATATCAACATCGTTATTGTTATTTTTGTAGTTAAATAGCTTTACTATGATCCCAGAGGTGAAGTTAGAGCCGACTAAGCCGAAAACAGCACTGCAAAGAGAAGGCAAACTTGAAACAAACCCTATACCAATCCGTTTGGTGTAATATAGTAGGCCATAACCTCCTTTCTAAAGAGAAACCTAAGTCCAGCAGTGGACTATTAAAGGCCGTCGATATGATGAATGATGAAATAGGGTTAGTATTGTTGTGCGTAAGAGCCGACATTTGCTGTTTCCTTCCTGAAAGAAAGTACACTTGGCTGTATTTATTTTCCTCATTTGCCTTTAAATATCAAGACATATTCTTCTCCAATAAATATCTTATATGAGTTTGTAGTCATTACTGGCTTAAAGACCGCCAAATATTTTATCATCATCAGCCTATAGCCGCCTACTGCTGAACGAAGGCCTCCCCCAAAGAGTGGTCCTACGCAGTCCGAATCCATCCGCTACCAGCCACCTTCCTCAAGTTTCTACATTTGCTTAAATAAAAATTACACATCTACTGAAATTAATCAGCTGCTTTTTTGTAGTTAAAACAAGAAAAGTGTTAAACAAAACACATCAAAATAATACTTGAAAGAATTTGTGCATTCTGACTTTTTTAAGACGATCTTTATCGATGACTATTTTAAAAAAATCTTCCACTATACATTTTTGTTAAATTTTTTTACAAATAAAAATAAAGTAACAAAAACTAGCTGTTCTGTACCTAAATTTCAACTTTTGCTAAATTTCTGACATCTGGTACAAAAACCAAGTTATGTTAATTCAATTTTTGCTTTACAGAGAGTGATTTAAGAGGAAGATTTTTATGTTAAATGAATGTAGTTAATAAATTGATGTAAAACTAACCAAGTAATTAACATTTTAGAACACAAAGTTAACTAAATTAGTAACTAAATAGCTCAAAAATAAAATTAAGTTTAAAAAAATATATTTTTAATATCATTAAAATCACCCAACCATTTTGTCTAGTCTTTTTTTTACTTCTACTGAGGCTTCCAAGTAACTCGCTGATAAAGTAGCTTTCCCAATGGAAAGCTTTTTAAAATCGGTGTAGTGGTTTAGCCGTGAAAGCGTAACCCACAAATAAATGCACTTCCACATTTATAATATAAATATGGATGTACTTCAAATATTTCATGATTGACATAGGAAATGCCGACACCATCTGCTGGTATTACCGTTAGTCTATTATAGAAAATGTAGAAATGAGCGATAAAAAATTCTAAACGATCCAAGTCGCCCTAAACTCGCACTTTGCAAATGCCATGTGTCTACGAGTATATAGGGTCATATCGGCCGCTATTTCGGTTTAGTAATCAATGCACTTCATCACAGCGTAGGAAGCTCCATCACCTCAACGGAACCGCTTTGGCAAGCTGATATTTGGGAAGATCGAGTAAGTATTTCGAAACTACCAAACCGTAGAAGCTCCAATAGGAAATGTTATGCCAAATAACACTTTCACAAAAAATAAGTACTATAAAAGTATATTACCAAAATGAATAACAAGTCAAAATTTAAAAATAACAAAATATACAATACGGCTAAAGCGCATATCGAGTAGAGTAACTTAATCCCAAGCATACTCATCACGCGTAGAGCATACAGCGGTGTTCAATTTTATTCAAATATTTAATTTGTTCTAACTTGTTTTTTTATGTATTATATATTATTTTGTTGTAAGTTGGAGAAATTGTTCAACATCATCATCACATCATCAACAGCCTTTAATAGTCCACTGCTGGACATAGGCCTCTCCTTAGAAAGGAGGTTTTGGCCTACTATACCACGCTAGCCAGACGGGTTGGTATAGGGTTTTTGTCAAGTTTTCCTTCTCTTTGCAGTGCTGTTTTCCTGAGTAGTTTGAGTTCTGAGTCTGGGTTTTCGGGATGAATAGGGGTGGTGACACTCCGTATTCTTAAACCGTCACCACACGGACAATACAATAAATTAAATTAATTATTATTATTATTATACTTTTTATACAATTGTTAAACATCTATATCATTTTAACATTTAGATAAAGATCGTTTTTATCATTTTTCCTGTAACATTAATATGAATAGGTACGTGTGTTGTGTTCATAAATTGTTTTTCGACTTTATCATGTCTTTTACTACCAATAATAAACGGTCAGATTTAGATTTATACCTATATGACAACTTATTATATGTTTTATTTTCTTCATACAACTAATACGCATCAAAGAATTGTAATTTGATTGCATTATTATAATTATCTTAGAGCAGTTCAATGATAGCTAAGGTTTTGGTTGGGTTCATGTTACCTACCAAAACCTTAGCTATAGTTTGTTTATCCGAAATTCTGGGCATAGAACTTTTTTGGCATAAAGTGTGAGATAGTACTCGTACCCTCTGTCCTTGTCTGTAGTACTTACACACGTACATGTACATGTGTACATTACAAATGTATGTCGTCTTATAGATCTCAGGTACTCGTCCTGAGATCTATAAGACGACATACATTTACATTACACAAGACAAACTTATTGCGTTAGAAATACTAAGTGATCTACCAGGCTGTTGACGACGCTGACCAAGTGACATCTCCATTCTGTCATTCATCTGACATTTAGTTACACAACCCCAGCCACTTTTAGTCCAAGATTTGTGACCCATCTGTTTTTCTTACCCACATTCAGCTTGTTTCTTTTTTCCGTCTGAGAGAAGTTACATTCCCATGTTTCGCAATGTATCAATTCCAAAAGAAATCCAGAAAGGACAGGAAAATGAAATTTGATAATTTTGGTATTCCCGAACTTTTAACGATTATGATAAAATTACTTTTCAAAACGTAAAATGCCTATTGCCTATTATTTTATATAGTGTTGGTACAGTACAGAAATAATAGGTTACTGTGAATTGTTGTTGTTAATGACTTAGACCAGATCACTTTATACACAAATTTATGTGAAAGATTACTTTATCGCATTCAGTTATAAAATTATTTCCAAGAATCAATTATTATGATACATTTTTAGTCAGTTCGGAGTGCAAAGCATACCATATATAGTTACATATTTAACAATGTCAACGTAAACTGTATTTACATATTTCTAGGTTATTTTTTATCAGGATATAAAAAAATACTGTACAGAAAGTCATATCTGTAGATATATGACTAAAGCACGGCATTATGTTTGAAAATGATATGGTATAGTAGAAGTATACTATAAATTGATTCGGTTTGTTGTGTTGGTCATTATGTTGTTAATATTCTGTAAATAAAAACAAGTTCACTGCACAAATTATCGAAAGGTATTGTTTAAAGGTATACATTAAGTTAAGTAACTTTTGTTTAGAACACATTTCTTAAATAATATAATCTGCAAAGGTTTATAACAGAAGACCATAAACCATAAAATCTTGGTCGATGAGATTTGGACTGTTGTGTAACCCAACAAAAAGTCAGGCAGTCATACTAGGCAGCAAACGTATGATAAGCAGATTGGAGACTATCTCTATCTCACCGATCGTCTTCAATGGCTCAGTTGTTCTATTCAGCCCTGCAGTCAAAGACCCAGGCTTACTCATCGACTCAAAGGTCGCGTGAGCCAGTTAGTAACTTGAAACCTGCGAACTTTATATCCTCTAAAGAATTTCCTGCCTCCTAAAACTAAAACTACACTCGTGCAGTCATTAATAATTCCAATAACTGAATATAGTGACCTGAATGCACACCTTCTAAATAAGCTGGACCGTCTTCTCAATAACTGCATTTGATACATTTTCAAACTTCGGAAGAATGACCATATGTCTACTTTGCGTTCTCAATTTATCTAGTTACCTATTCGCTTGCGCCGCAATCAGCATGCACTTACCTCTCTATTTTCACTTTTAAACTCACCGACCTCATCTACTTACGTTGCTTCCTACTTCCACTACCTATCCTCTAATCCTCAATCTTCGCTCACCTGCTTCTCTTATGTCCCTCCCACAACTCCGACTTTCTTGAACTCGTCGTTCTTTGTTCAAGCAGTACTACTCCCGCTCGCAGCATGCGATGGGTTAGGGATGGGTACCGCGATTGTTCACATCATCTCGCTGGGCATGTAGCTATGGCCAATGCACGAGCTATATAATATGCTAAAACTTTAGCTCTATGTGGCCCTATTTATTTCAGATGCACGATGGCCAGAGGATTTTCCTCTCGACATAGATTTAATGGTTCGTATAACTTCTTTTAATTCAATTTTTATCGTTAGGGCTAAACCTGGCTCAGCATCGAGTTCCGATATATGTGTTACATTTTTATATGGATTGTGTTGTATATCTTACTAGGGACTAGTACGTCAACCAATTTAATAAATGACTTATACATATCTGAATTTTTGTCAGTAACTTCACACATTAGCTTCTGACAAAAAACTAGCTCAAGAGGCCAAGCGCAATCGGTTTTTGATAATAATTTTAAACTAACTTAATGTTTGACTAGTTTCAGTCTCTGTAAGATATATAAGAGGACATTAATTATGCTTTACCATCACGACCACACCATCCGATCCAAAAATTTGATCTTAGCGTAAGGAACAGCTGATCACACAAATAATAGTGCAGGGAAATTTCCGCGCTTGTATCTGCTGGCCCCTTTTTCTAGACTTTATCAAATATGCAATTTAACTTTGTATGAATGTTTAGGAAAAATCTAATTTGAGACATTGAAAAAAAAAGATTGTAAGTTGATGACATGGCTTTGTTGTTTTTGTAAGTTGCTAGGCCATTGTATTTATCACAGTAAAATAACGTGTTGTAATCAATCGTAAATTGATGAAATTCTGATTGTAGAAAAAAAAGAGAAATATTTATAGTTAAAATAAAAGTTGTTGATTAAATTTAAGCTTTCAATAAATAAAAAACTTAAGTGTTGGATATTTTAATTAAATGATTTATAAGTAAATTCAGGTTTGTCAATTATTTTAAGACTTCAGATCATTGCTTTTTACAAAACAAGGCATGATATAAGTTGTGCTAATCCGTTGTGCTGTCCTATGTAATCCTATCCTTTGTATGGCATCAATAGACTTGTAACTTATAATGACATATTAGTTTTTTATCAGGTCCTACTTCTATCCTTATTACGAGTTGAAGAAAACCCCTTAATAAGAGAAATAAGTAAAGGATTGCTTAGCCTTCTCAATAAGAAAGTGTTAAAATTGATAGTAGCACCAAGTTTACACTATTCGGTTCTGAATCTATTAATAACTCTCATTTAGTCCACGTTTTGTAATGGATCCTTCACGATTTCTTTAAACCAGACAGTTGTTGTTGGCAGAGTCATTCTTCGGCACATAATAATATGAGTCGGCTAGACTAGAGTGAGAACACTGCCTCTCAGAAAGCCAACGGGCTTTTTACAGGGTAAGTAAGGTTGGCGAATGTTAAGACTCTTCTCCAAGTCTAGATCGTCTACAAGTCCTTATTTATTTATTGCACGTTTTTATGATGAATATATTATGCCAAGATGTGTTAATTAATTAAAATTACCAATCCAGAAATCGCAAAGAGTGTATACGGATTGTAAGCCGGTAGTTAATGTTCCGTCTGTAGTAATAAAATTTAAAACTTTTACACTAAATTACGAAGCCTTAGTCTCCCATAAACCGGTTGTAATACCAAACCGCTCTGAGTTGACATGTCCTAGCTATAAATCGTAAAAGTAGTAGGATTATGCCGCGTTTCCTTTGAATGGATGTGTGAGTAAATCATTATAATTCTAGTAAAATTTAGAGTTAAAAAAAACAATTGCCGTTCATTTTCTACAAGAAATCGTCATCATCATCAATATTGTCAGTACTTGGAGTATTATTGCCTTTATTTAATCAACTAACTCGTTACAATTA